GTGTCCAATCCCGGTGGATTATGTTGACTTGCCCAATGGACATCGCCACGAAATTTTCAGGGTGGAATCTTTTCTTCGTGTGTTCAGCTTGAATGAGAAGTTGCACATGTTTCTGGGCCACGTACAGGACTTTACTGTCACTGGGGAATATTGGAGGCGGGTCAAGTGCATTGATCCTGATCATCCGGTATTCTCCTACCACCAAGGTAGGGAACAATACGTGATTCCATGTATGTTACATGCCGACGAGGGTCGCACGCTGAAGAAAACGAGCATCATGGTGTGCAACCTGCAGCCGGAACTAGGTGGAAACCCCAATCCCGACTATGACCCGGAGGAGCTACACTCGAATATGAAACTTATCTCTTGGGCGACGAGGTTTCTGCTGTTCACCATGCACAAGTCTATCTACAAAAAAGATTCAGCTCCATTGTACTCGATGTGGGAAAGTGTGGCCGCAGAGCTGCTACATTTGTGGACGCATGGTGTGGAATTGGTATTCAACAATGCGAAAGTGACAGTATTTATTTGCCTCACTGCAATCAAAGGGGATTGGCCCCTGCTGGCCAAACTCGGCTGCCTCGAACGGTTCTTCGGAAGGAAGACAAAGTCCGCCAAGCAGGAGAAAGCCCTGGGGATATGTCATCTGTGTCTTGCTGGAAAAGTTGGACACCCGTTCCACGATTGCACGTCTACGGCTACTTGGCGATCTACTTTTCTTCAGCACAGCCCATTCAGCCAGCCGTCTCCCTTCGCTTGTTTGCCAAACCATCAGCCACTCTTATACAGATTTGACGTATTTCACGTTTGTCACAAGGGTGTGCTTGCAGAGCTTGCAGGGAGTGGGCTCGTGGCAGGTTGCAGTTGGTACATGTTTAGTTTTGTTTTATGTACTGTAACATAATTGAGGCTTCGGGTTTAGGATTGCATGATCGCCAAAGGTAGTTCTCATGGACCTTGGAAAGGCTGGCCCCGGAGATGTCAACAATCAACTGAATTCTTTGTACGAAGAGTTGGTCCAGTTCTCCAAACAAAACAAGCTGAATCTGCATATGGGCTCACTGACACGAACTTTGGTCAGCTTCAAGAAGGATGCTGACTATCCTTGCGGGTGCTCTGACCCAATCGAGTATAGATCAATTTTGTTTTCCTGGTTATTTATGCACATGCAGGGTGTAGGAGAATTTCTTTGTTTATTCTTGTTCTAGTATGTTAGTCCCGGGAATACAATTATAGTAGTTTCGTGGTTAAATGATGTATCCAAAGCCAATTCTCCAGGACATGGTTCAAGGGACAAGATACAACTATTGTCAACAAGTTTCTCCAGGAGCGGTACAATCAATTGCTGCACGAGGAGCCATGTGAATATGCTGCCGCCATCCACGAGGCACTTTGCCAGGCGAACGCCATGATGCGGCACTTGTATGCACACGGTCTATGGTACAGGAGGCATGATGCAAAACTGTTCGCACAATATGCATACGGCTTCCTGGCGAAGTACTTGGAAGTTGCTCACTTTGCTCTCAAGCAACGAAGAGCGAGATTCAAGTTGACCCCCAAATTTCATGCTCTGAACCACATTGCTGATTATGTTCAAGACGATTTGATCAAGTTTCCCTCGGCTCAGTGGCTGAGAAACCCAGTCGCATGGTCGACCCAGCAATGTGAAGATTTCACGGGGCGGGTAAGTCTTCTTAGCACGGCTGTCAGCTCTCGAGCTTGCCACCGCCAAGTTATGTGCAGGTATGCAGTCAACCTGTGGAAGAGCTGGTAGGAGAGGAAAAAAGTCCGATTGTGTATTGGGTCTTTCCAGGGTTTTGCAGGGGAGAGCTCGGATGTTAACCCTCTGACTTAAGCTCAGCGACGAATTTGCCTGAGTAGACAACGACAAAAATGCAACCAACACGGAAAACCAGCAACTTTCGGCGGTGGCGTTTATTTCTGCAACTTGGTTTTCAAGGTTCTTAATGAAGGAGGACCCCACTCTCCGTACGGACGGCCGGTTCGGGCGGCCCCCTGACGGCGCTACCTACTTTGCCTTCTTAATGAAAAGGACCCCGCTGTCCGTACGGACGGCCGGTTCGGGCGGCCCCCTGCCCGTACGGACGGCGCTCCCTTATCTTTGCCTTCTTAATGAAGGTGACCACCACTGCCCGTACGGACGGCCGGTTCGGGCGCCCCCCACTGCCCGTACGGACGGCGCCGTGCGGACGGCGCTCTCCTATCTTTGCTTTCTTAATGAAGGAGGCGCTCCCTTGTCTTTGCCTTCTTAATGAAGGAGGACCTCACTGTCCGTGTGGAAAGTTCGGGCGCCTCCCTGCCCGTACGGACGGCGCTCCCTTCTCTTTGCCTTCTTAATGAAGGAGACGGCGGTTCGGGCGGTTCCCACTGCCCGTACGGACGGCGGCGCTCCCCTATCTTTGCCTTCTTAATGAAGGGAACCCCACTCTCCGTACGGACGGCCGGTTCGGGCGGTCCCCTGACGGCGCTACCTACTTTGCCTTCTTAATGAAAAGGACCCCGCTGTCCGTACGGACGGCCGGTTCGGGCGGCCCCCTGCCCGTACGGACGGCGCTCCCTTATCTTTGCCTTCTTAATGAAGGTGACCACCACTGCCCGTACGGACGGCCGGTTCGGGCGCCCCCCACTGCCCGTACGGACGGCCCCGTGCGGACGGCGCTCTCCTATCTTTGCTTTCTTAATGAAGGAGGCGCTCCCTTGTCTTTGCCTTCTTAATGAAGGAGCTAAGCCAAACCCGCGTCTGCGCTAGGAAGCCGTGAAGAAAAAATAAGCCCCCCTTGATAGGGGGGTTTGGGGGGGTAGAAAACCCTAAACCCTAATTGAGTTGTGTCTGGGTGGGTCTAGGGTGGGAGTCACTTAGCTGTGCTGGAGCGAGCGGCTCGGGGAGATTTACACCCGAGCGAGCGAATACGATGGACAAACCTTAAACCCTAAACCCTAAGCCCTAAACCCTAAACCCTCAACCCTAAACCCTAAACCCAGTGGAAACCCGGCTCCTCCCATCCGAGCAACTCCACGTCCGCCTCGCCCTGGTCGGCACCTGTGGCTACCGGGGCTTGGGACCCAAAAAAGGGGGCCTTAAAAATTAGAGTAGGGTTCCTTAAAGGGTTCCGAAGGGGTCTATAGGGACTACTATAAGGGGCATTCTGGGGGTGTAATATAGGGGCTTTAATGATTAGAATAAGGTTTTGGGGCCCATTGTACTATAAGTATAATAGGGAAACCCCAAAATAGTAGAGGCAAAGAGTGAGGCCTCTAGGCCTTGCAGCAATAAGTTTACAGTTCAGGGCTCTCCGGTTTTTGTTTTTGGATCAGGACTTTGGGCCCATTAGCCAGGTCCGGCTGCAGGAATTTAGGGCGAGCGGGCGATGCACAGAGGTTCGAGAAGCTTGAGGCAAGGTGGGGGGAGAGCGGGGTTGAGGTGACACCACAGTTCACTCTGTTGATGGACAAAATCCTGCATTACCCATTATAAGGAATATACCGTAGTTCCCATAGTTTAGAGTCCTTGGATGTCCTTGGGGTCATGCAGGATGTTGTCCATCAACAGCAGGTCAACTTACAGTACATATTACATGACATACTGCTTCTCAGCATGTTACAAGCAACATTACACACTGGTTGCGAGGCTTCAGGGAGTGGTCGATGTAATAGGAACTTCATATAAGCCTCTAGTGTAAAGCTTCTTTAGGTGTAGAGCTTGTTTAGGGCTTGACAGATCCAAACCGTGGCCTTCAGCGTCGTCGAACTTGGGTCCCGGGAAGACGCCCACGACTTGCGCAAACTTCACCACGCCCTGGTTTACGGCTTAGGGCTTCGGGTTTAGGGTTTAGGGCTTAGGACTTAGGGTTTAGGGTTTGAGCGGGAGGCGAGACACCAGGGTTAGGGTTCCCTAAACCCTACCCTACAATCTAGACCTAAGAGTAACCTAGAAATAAAAAGGGTGCCCTTTTTGGTTTAAAGGGGGTTATAGGGGAACCTGAACCCTTAAAAAGGGAATAAGGGCTTACTTTGGGTCCTAGCAATCTTGTCTTTAGGATTTAAGCTGCGGGGGGGAATTTTTGCCACTGGGGAATGTCTCTCAAACCCTCACTCCCAACCCCACGCCCAAAACAGCCGCAACCCTGAATCGTCAATTCCACATTACCCCCGAAGCCTATGAACCCTAAACCTTGAAAAAAAGCAAATCCGATAAACCCTAAACCCCGCAAACCCCAAACCAATAAACCCTAAACCCCCAAAATCTCAGCTTCAGCGGCCCTCGTCAGCGCAGCGGTGCAATGCTTCAGGTCTTCGAAAGGCTTCTCGTTAACCTGTCGGCTTTAGGTTGAAGGTTTTTAGGTTTAGGGTTTAGGGTTTAAGGTTTAGGGTTTTGGGTTTAGCGTTTAGGGTTAGGGTTTAGGGTTTAGGGTTTAGGGTTTAAGGTTTAGGGTTTAGGGTTTAGGGTTAGGGTTTAGGGTTTAGGGTTTAGGGTTTAGGGTTTAGGGTTTAGGGTTTAGGGTTTAAGGTTTAGGGTTGTGGGTTTAGGGTCGAGGGACCGAGGGGGACGTCGGAGGGGTAATCGGACATGCTCCCCGAAAAGGCTTGATTTAGGCACCTGTGGCCCAAAAGACCTACCTTTTTAAGGAATTATATATAGAAATCATAACCAGGAACCCCAAAAAAACCTTCGGATAGCGTTGTGGTGGTAGTTTACGTACTGTGATGCTATTACAACTCATTCCGAGCCCTAGATTGACTCCATGAGCTTGCTGTTTTTTGTGTGTTGGGCTCCACATGCCTTTCTTGACGGCCCTCCAGACAACATCCCCCTCGGTATTGTTATTCTTGTTACTCACGACTAAACACTACTTTCCAACCCGAAACATACCTAAAGCCTACCTCAACCCCAAATAACATACCTCTTTCAGGATTCATTTAAGGAACTCCAGAACAGGTAGGCTTCTAGGGTCCGGGAACACCTTACAAAGGGCAAGCCCTTACTGAGTGCACACAATTCCGATTCCCGCCTTTGTGTCCAAGACGTCGTGGACTGCATCCATCTGGGCCTGCCCCGGTTCTTTTGAGGGGATCCTTGAACGATTCGTGTGAGGATTCCCTTAGCAGGGTTCCTGCGAGGACTCTAGAACAGACTTCCCGAGTTTCTCTGGGTTTAAAGGGAACTCCAGAAAGTTGGAATATGGATTAATGGTAGGATCCCCTATAATTTACCTTAAAGGGGTTACGATAATGATATTCAAACTTTCTGGCTTCTACTGTAGGGGCCGAGGGCGTTGGGACAATTTTTCGGGGTTCGGGGGTCTGGTGTAGGCCGTGTGTCTGAAAAGGCTTGCTGGTTTGGGGACCCCCTGAGCTTTCGGCGGGGGCCGGGGCCGACAGAGTTGGAGGGCCCTAAACCCGAAACCCCAAACTACCCACAACCCTAAATTTCCTAAACTGAACCCTAAATTGCTTAAAACCTAAACTACCCTGAACGGTAAATTTCCTAAACCCTGAACCGTAAACTACCCTGAACCCTGAAGAAAAACCCATGGCCTACGACTACTTTGGCCCGGCCTTCCAGTTCTGCTCATCCATGTTACGCTGCTTCTCCTGCGGAATGGTGAGGGTTTCTAGGCTGAGGCAACGTGGATCTTCGACTTCGTCCTGCAACCGAAGCCGCCAAACCCTAACACCAAGTCTCACCAAAAGCCTTCACAAGCCGACCTTGCAAAGTTTGGCAGCTGGATACTCTTGATGTAGGCTTAGACCCTCTAAATTCTCTTTAAACCCCATCAACCTTCTAACCTTCGCAAACCAATAGACCCACTGGCAGTTTGAGCTGTGGTCCCAAGCGAAGCCCGGCACTCCGAAACGCCAAAGACTTCAATACTTAAACCATCTTAAACCCTTTGCCCGAAAATCCAGCAAGCCTAAACCCGTAAACCCGTAAACCCGTAACCCTAAACCTACTTAAACCCTAAACCCTACACCCCTAAACCTTGGACCGTAAACTCCTAACCTTGGACTCGAGAGCCTCCTCAAGACCCAAGACTACTATTTGCTTAAGAAACCCCCCAAAAATCAAAATAATAATCCCTATATTACCCCCATAAGGAATATATTTTCTATTTTTGGGGGGTTCTTAAGCAAATAGTAGAAGAGCCCAGAGCCCAGAGATCCCCTGACGCCAGTCGCCCCTACTTGGAGGGTCGGGGGACTTAGTAAGTAGGTAGTAAGTAGACTTATAAGTACCCTAAAAGGGACCCTAATTGGGGTTAGGGTACTTCTAAGTCCCTAAAATAACCAGTTACTAAGTTCCCCGACCCTCCAAGTAGAGCTCGAAAGTGCTGAACCAGCCCAAGCCCTAAGCTTCACCCAAATCCCCAAACCCACATAGCTCAATCGCTAGACCTGCTCAAATTGGAAGTAAGCCCGCAACCTTGAGCACTTCTTCTCAAACCTTGAGCCCTTTCCATGGTTTCGGGTTTAGGACTTAGGAGGTCTGAATCCGAGACCCTATATCCAAAGCCCTAGCTTTAATTAGGGCTTTGAGGTTTGTTATTTCGGTCGCAACCCCCGGAGCTCCATCTTGCGGACGGCGTCGCTGTTCTTTTGGATGTCGACCTGACATGTGTCTTTGGGAGCGGAGGTGCGAATCTGGGGGTATACAGCGCAGCGCATGTGCTTACCAGCCCTGACCTCCAAACCCTTAGAGAACCCGCATCATCAGGCCCCATTATACAACAGTTACAGAACCCCATACCAGTATAGAACGCTTCCAAAACCCTGCACCCGAACCCTAAACCCCCCCTAAAACCTAAACTCTACAGAACCCTTCTAAACCCCCAAAGAACCCCAGAACCCTTTATAGTAGAGTTGGAAACCGGATCAAGGAATTCGGTCGTCTACTGTAAAGCACTACACCCTAAGCCCTAAACCCTACACCCCTGCACCCCTAAACCCCTAATTAAACCCCTGAACCCCTAAACCCCTAAACCCCAAACACCAAACCCTAAACCCTAAACCCGAAGCCTTACACCCTAAGCCCTAAACCCCAAACACCCTTCTTCTTCAGGCCTCGTGGGAGGCACTCTTCACCGTCAGGCCGTTCACCTCCTCCCGGAGCTTCAGGATGTCCTCCGAGCAGCATTTAGGGTTTAGGGTTCCTTTTCATCTATCTATAGGGTTCCTTTGAAGGGAGGTATAAGATGGTTTCTATCAGGGATCTATAGGGTTTTTTGAATTCAAAGGTGTCCTGTGAGCGGTGTTTTCAGACTCGAGGTGTGGGTTCAGGGTTCAGGGTCGTAAGATTTGGGTTTAGGGCTCACGGCTACCGTTTTGGATTCTGGATCCAACGAGGTGTGGGTTTGGGGCTTAAGAGTGGCCAGATTTCGGTTTAGGGCTCAAGGCTATAGTTCAGGATTTTGGATCCAAAACGAACAGAGTATTAGTTTTGGACCTAGGGTTTAGACTTTGGGGCTTGCGGTTTAGATCAAGGTTCTGGTTTGCCCAGAGCCTCCAAAACCCCTTAATTAAGGAATATACCTTCAATTATAATAGGATCCCTTATATGATGTTAAGGTATATTCCTTAATTAAGGCTATTAAGAGGTTTTGGAAGTTCCGGTTTGGGGTTGCCGCCTCAGAGCTGACAAAGTGGTTCTTTTGGGGTTTATAGGGAACTCCAGAAAGTTGGAATATGGTTTCAGGGTAGGATACCGTATAATTTACCATAAAGGGTCTGGCTTTTACTTTAGGGTGCGGGGCTCAGGGAACACGGTTGAAGGCGGCTTAGGCTGTCGGGGTTTAAGGAGAAACCAAGGGCATACGACCTTGTCCTGATTCTTTGCCCTTGCGCTTTACGAAGCTACTTGGAGGATCATGGGACTTAGTAAGTAAGGTTATAAGTACCTTAATTCGGGTTATAAGTAGTTAGAAGTATAGTTACCCTAGGGTTAGTTACTAAGTCCCATGATCCTTTAAGTATCCAGTCGTAGTATACTCCGAACTGCCTGACCTTCCTTTTTAGCATTCACTGGGCTTGCGGAAGGGCTTGTAGAGGTCTCAAGCACGACTCGTGTGGCTTTAGAGCTTGCGCGACGGGTCTTGTTCAGACACTCATGGTTCAAAGCAGCCAAAGTCTACGGTGCTCGTGTGTTCGATTCCGGGGTTCTCAGGTCTTTCAAAGCGTCATAGACATAGAGAGAGCCCTGTACTCGGAGTAGTGGCTTTTCGGAATTCATTTGGGCTGCGGTCTCGTGCAGGTTTTTCCCAGCTTCTCCCCTGACAGATTCTTTCGTAAAGCACTCGGCCAACACAAATCCCTTCTCAAAACCACTGAAGCCCTTACAGAACCCAAAACCCTTACAAAGTCTACAAAAACGGAAGCCACACCCCTTACAAAGTCTTGAAAAGCAGAACCCAAACCCCTTACAAAGTCTACAAAGGCTGCTCACCCTCCACCCGAAGGCCCGGCACGCTTGTGCTCGCCAAGTCCGCCCTGCACCCCGCTCATGCGCCTCGGTGGTTGCGTTTGGGTGTTGGGCGTAGGGGTAGGGGTTTAGGGTTCAGGGTTCAGGGTTTAGGGTCTGGGGTCTAGGGTCGAGGGTTCAGGGTTTAGGGTTTAGGGGCTTTGGGGGTCTGCAAAAAGCCAACCGAAATCCGAACCAGATTTTCGCACCGTGTGATCCGTTGCAACAGAAACAGCACACATGCTGTAGCAAGTCGTTCAACGGCAAATGTCACATCCCCGAAAAGAAAAGTCGCGATCAAAGAATCGAGTTTTAGATGAGCAGTGGGTAAAGATTCAATTAAGGACTCACACATCTCCAAAAGCACCACAGAGCCTTAACATTGCAACACTGAACTTTCAGACCCTTATCGACTCGCACATATTGGAGCCCCTGATCAATGAAGCCCTAAGCACTGTGTCTCCCGACACATGGCACTCACGCGTAAACCTACTACTCAAATAGGGATCCATTCCGAACCAACCCTAAACCCTAAAACCTGAACCCAACACCCTAGTAGGGGGTTCGAGTTACTGGAAACTGCAACCTGATTTTCACGTGATCTCCGACATACAAATGGGTGTGGTTGTCAAAATTATGGTCCCTTTTTGGGATCCCTATTATAATGCGGCACCTAATATTTAGGGTACCCAGTTAGGGACCATAATTTAGACCACCACCCATATGGGAGTTTCCGAAAAGGGGACCATTTAGGGACCATAATTTTGACAACCACCCGAATCGGCCAAAGCCGCAGGTCCAATGCTCCGAGACGGCGGGAGGCTTCAGCGCTTCGGAGCTCCGCCTGGCATGGAGGATTGATGTCAGGATCATGGGACTTAGTAAGTAAGGCTCCTTATAGGGTTCCTTAAAGGGACCCATAAGGGATTTATAGGGTTTCTATAAGAGTTCTACAAGGATTTGTCTGTGCTCTTTGTGTTGCTGTTCTCGGATGTTTATAGGATGTTATCAGGGCTCGATGCGGGTGTTGGGTTCCTGTGTATAACTTGCTTTGCTTTCTAACGCAAACTGCGAAACATATACTGACATAGCATATCACATGGAAAGCTCTGGTATACTTTTAACACTTGACTTTAAGTTGTATCTATACCACATTCACAATATGTACAGTAGTATATATAATAAACCCTAAAACCCTAACCCTAAACCCTAAACTCTAAACCTTATATATATATATATATATATGGCTCAGAAGGATGACTCTTGCAGTATCCTCACCCCTCGAAAATAGCGGTCGGAAAATTAGCAATACTCTTCCCTCAGAGCACTATCCTAATCGCTAAAAAAAACCCGGAAGAAGCCCGTACACCCTATGTCAAAGGGGTAAAGGAGGGACAGGGACGCTTGATGGGGACCCCTACCCAATAATGGGCTATATAATGGGCATATAATAGCTATATAAAGGGTATATAAACCTAGGGGTGCTTCTTAAGGGTTTCTGCTTTTACCCTTGGACTATGCAAACCCTAAAGGGTAAGCCCTAAATCCTAAACCCTAAACCCTAAAAGGCTAAGCCCTAAACCCCACCAGTCGCTTCACGCTGATGCTGCCAGTGCTGGCCTGTTGCTCCACAGCCCCAATCTTCTCGAAAGCCTCCTGCCTCAGGGTGGTAGTATTTTTTGCTTATGGTTTTTCCGTTTTTTTTCTTATTTTTTTTCCGTTTTGCTCGTGGCAAGCAAGCAAGCAAGCAAGCAAGCAAGCAAGCAAGCACTCAAGCAAGCAAGCAAGCAAGCAAGCAAACCAGCAAACAAGCAAGCCAGCGAGCAAGCAAGCAAGCAAGCATGCAAGCGTGCAAGCAGGCAAGCAAGCAAGCAAGCAAGCAAACGTGTAAGCAAGCAAGCAAGCAAGCAAGCAAAGAAGTAAGCAAGCAATAAAGGAAGCAAGGATGGAATCGTTGCAGCCTCCTGTTATTACTACCTACTACCTACTACCTACTACCTACTACCTACTACCTACTACCTACTACCTACCACCTACCACCTACCACCTACCACCTACCACCTACCACCTACCACCTACTGCCTACTGCCTACTACCTACTACTACCTACTACTACCTACTACTACCTACTACTGACTACTACCTACTACTACCTACTACTACCTACTACTACCTACTACTACCTACTGCTACTGCTGCTGCTACTCCAACAAAACGACTCCTACTACTCCTACTACTACTACTACTACTACTACTACTACTACTACTACTACTACTACTACACCTACTACTACTACTACTACTACTACTACTACTACTACTACTACTACTGCTACTACTACCTACTACTACTACTACTACTACTACTACTACTACTACTACTACTACTACTACTACTACTACTACTACTACTACTACTACTACTACACTACTACTACTACTACTACTACTACTACTACTACTACTACTACTACTACTACTACTACTACACTACTACTACTACTGCTACTACTAACTACTACTACTACTACTACTACTACTACTACTACTACTACTACTACTACTACTACTACTACTAACTACCACCTACTACCTACTACCTTCTACCTATTACCTACTACCTAGTACCTACTACCTACCACCTACCACCTACCACCTACCACCTACTACCTACTACCTACTACCTAGTACCTACTACCACTGCTACTACTACTATTATTATTACCACGACGACGACGACTTTTACTACTACTACTACCACCTACCACATACTACCTACTACCTACTACCTACTACCTACTACCTACTACCTACTACCACCTACCACTACTACTACTACTACTACTACTACTACTACTACATCTACTACTACTACTACTACTACTACTACTACTACTACTACTACTACCACTACTACCACTACCACTACTACCGCTAGTACTACTACTACTACTACTACTACTACTACTACTACTACTACTACTACTACTACTACTACTACTACTATAATAATACTACTACTTCTACTACTTCTACTACTACTACTACTACTACTACTACTACTACTACTACTACTACTACTACTACTACTACTACTACTACTACTAGTACTACTACTACTACTACTACTACTACGACTAGTACTACTACTACCCCTAGTACTTCTACTGCTACTATGACCCTACCACCCCTACCCCTACCCCTACCCCCACCCCTACCCCTACCCCTACCCCCTCGCCCCCTACCCCTACCTACCCCTACCCCTAGCCAAACAAGGGAAACTGAAAAAAAATAAGACAAAAAACGGAAAAAAAAGAAGGAACAAAAACCACGCCCCTCAAAGTAGTGTGGGGTTAAAAAAAAGGATTGGGGTTTAAAGTCTAGGGTTTAGGTTGAAGGTTTGGGGTTTACGGTTTGGGTGCGCTCAAAGTAGGTTGCAAGGCTATCGCTTCGACGGACTTATTGTTTCTTAACCAAGGGCTGGGTCGATGAAGATGGTAGTGACAGTGATGGCGAGGAAGCGTCTGCGATGTGGTGGTGATGACATCATCACGATCACCGTCTTCATCACAACCATGATGGGCACTCTCCCTCCTCGTTGTTGGTAAACGAGAATTTCTTACCAGTGCAGCCACCCAATAAATGCCTAAATGACAAGTAGTATGGATCCCTTACAAGTAAGATCAGTCTCTACAGTCCCTGCGTATTTATACTACAACGGACCTCAAAACCTTCTCTAGTTGCTAAGGCCTCTACATACTAGCTGTCGTTGGCAGGCTGCGCATGCTATCAGCTGCCAAGTTGCTGCTTCTGGCGGATGTCATTCTTCAGGCGGGCTTCCTCAGCTCCATGTCTTTTGGCTTCTAGGGTCTTGTCTTTCGGCTTTTAGGCGTTTATCTTTGGGCTTCTAGGGCTGTATCTTTCGGCTTCTAAGGGTTTTTTCTTCGGGGTTCGGGTTTTGGGGTTCGGGTTTTGGGTTTCTCTTTCGGCTTCTACGGCTCAGTGTGTAGGGTTTAGAGTCTTGTCCTCCGGCTCCTAGGGTTTAGTGTATGCACATGCTTGAACACCTACAGTAAACCCCATAAAGGTGGAAACCGGATTCAGGCCAAATAGTGCTGGGATTCCTTGTACATTACTCTTAAGGATTGAGGCTATTCGGTTTCCAACTTTTGGGCTTCTACTGTAGTTCATTGTCATCTTCAAGAAATTAATCGGCCAACGGTGGCTTCTGGGATGCTGCAGGGCTTTAGGCGCTTATTTCGTGGTTTCGGATGTATACTTTGGCATTAGGACAGCTCCCATCGCCTCGCCTCGAGGCTCTCTCCATCCTATTATATCCCAAAGAAGATCCCAAATCCTAAGACCCTGAAGCCCTAAACCGCAAAACCCTAAAGCCCCAGAGCCCTAAACCCCAAACTCTAAACCGAAGATTCCAGAGTTCTGCTTCCTCGAGAGCCAGGAGACAAAACATGAGGACAGGTATCTGCTGTTTTGGGGGTTTGGGTGGTCAGGGGTTTCTGGAGCCCACAGGTGCTAGAAGTTTGGGGCCTTTAGGTTTTGAGTGTTTTGTTGGTTTGGGGGGTGGGACCAATTGGGGATTTCTGGAGATGAGGGACGCTTATCGAGGAGAACAGTTCTGATTCTGAGGACACTCAACAAGGTACCCTAAGCCTTAAACGTGTTTAAACCCTGAATTCACCATAGCTTTCGGAAACACGGACTTCCTCCCAAGCTTCCGTGTCGGCAACGTTGCGCTCGAGATCGCTCCGCACCACAGCGACCTTCCGCTGCTTTCGGTAGCAGTTTTTGTAGCTTTAGCTCTCCTAGCCATTCAACGACTTGGGGAGACCCATCAGCTTGAAAGCACCCTAAACCGTAAACTCTAAACCGGTCGCAGAAAAACAGTAGAACAGACACCTGCAGAGTAGATCTCAGCCAACATTGTCAGGCATAATCACCGAATAAAGTCGCCTCCAGAAGGTTGGAACATCGTTGTCCTCACGTCCTTTGAGGTACAGTAGTGGTGAAAAACCCTCCTGAATCCATGTTCCAACTTTCTGGGATTCACTGTAAACCTCCTCCAACTTCATACCGAACCCTTTCGATGGCTCTGGAACGCCCTCCTAAAAGCAATGCTTGAACTGGAAGTTCAGCAAATCCACAGCCCGGAAGCCCCGAAAACTGAAATCTTCAATTCTGAAGCCTAAGTCAAACCCTGAGAACTCAGAACCCAGAAAAAGAAAAGTCTACAGACCGACCTGAGAACCCCTATAAACCTCCATACATCACTTCCTGAAGCCAGGGGCCTACTTCGACTTAAGTCTTAACAAGTTGCTGGGGTTCTGAGGCCCCAAGACCCAAAACCCTAAACCCTAAACCCCTAAACCCTAAACCCCTACAACCCTAAACCCTAAACCCTAAACCCCTACAACCCTAAACCCTAAACCCTAACCCCTAAACCCTAAACCCTAAACCCCTACAACCCTAACCCTAAACCCCTACAACCCCTACAACCCCTACAACCCCTAAGAGTGCCTCGTTGAAGCAGTCGCTCAAGGAGTTCTGGGTCGTGTGGAGGGACTCTTGGGTGGCCGCGAGGTCCTGATCCGAGGTCTAAGGTATTTAGAGGTTTAGGGGTTTAGGGGTCTTCGGGGGTTTAGGGGTTTAGGGGTTTTTGGAGGGTTTAGGGGTTTTCGGGGGTTTTCGGGGGTTTAGGGGTTTAGGGGTTTAGGGGTTCAGGGTTTAGAGGTTTAGGGGGTTTAGGGTTTAGGGTTGGGGGTTGGGATGGCCGGGAGGAGGGCTCTCACCGGGGATTTGCTCTGTTGTATTAAAATTACAATAAGGTCTTGTGGTAGAGGGTTCGGATCCGACTGGGGGGTTTGTAGGGATTTGGGGGTCTTGCATGGATTCTCGGTGTCGTCTATTCACCTGGCTGGAATGGCACAAAGCATTTCTTCGCGATGTAGAGCTTGGGTTAGAGCCAGGGCTGTGTTTAGGCTTTAGTTTTGAAGTGGTGCTAACTCTTCTTTGTTCGGCGCGCCAGATCACGGCTCACAACTACGCAAAGCTGGTAGCTTTCAGCCACCTGAGCATTAGCAGCTTAAGGGAGGAACCTGATTAAGAAACCTTGGGCCTTTATTAGGGTTCCTTTTCTGAATCCTAATATATTGAGGTTATAGGCCCAGGGTTGCTTAAGCACGTTCCTACGTAAGTCTTGCATGTTAGAGGGTTTTGCCGCACTTTCGTGGGGTCTCTCTCTCTCAGGAATCCCAAGTCACTGACAAACGATTTTGGGAGTTAGGATTAAGGGGGACCGTTGGGGATATAGACCCTCTCAATACGGCCCCTTTTAAGAGAGCCAGAAGTAGGGTTCAGAAGGGGTACCCTTTAAGGGGTCTCCCTAATAATACTACCTAGATTTGACCCCTAGGTATATACCCTTAATATAGCTATTATATACCCAGTATATAGCCCACTATAGGGGAGGGGTCCCCATTAAGGGTCCCTCCTTTTTCCCTTTGAGACAAACGATGTCAGGCTTTGGGGGAGAAGTCTCGGCAGAGCGTGCGCCGGAGACCCCAGGGTTCAGGAGGCTCCAAAGATTCAACGTCCGAAGGCCTGTGCTCATCACTGGCCTTCCTAGGGTTTAGGATTCAGAGTTTAGGGGTTTAGGGTTTAGGATTCAGGGGTTTAGGGGTTTAGGGTTTGATGCAGGGTTTATGGTCTTATCTTCGGGCCCTGTACTGCAACCCCGCAGGTTTCGCGTTCTGGCTGCTGAGAGCAGCAACGAATCGGTGCAGAATCCGTGCCCGGCGCTTCTGCTGTGGCTTGCGTCTCCTTCGCCTGGTCTTTCAACGCCCTCCGCCGGCGCTGCAGTTCATCCAGCTCGGCTTTGAGCAGCACTTTTCCGAAACCACAACTGCTTCCCAAATCACAGGACCTCTGATTCGCCAGATCGGGCCCCTGAGCTACCAAACCTATACCCCCTTAGAGCCCTCATAACAATACTATTTTTTAATATTCTCTTGGGTTTTATATGTTAAAAAATAATTCCTGAGGAGACTATAGAACCGCACAGAAACCCACGACCGAACCTCCGACCGGCACCACAGAACCCCAAGCCCTCAGCGATGAGAGCTTGGCAAAACTCGAAAGGGCTCTTGGGGTAAAGTCGCTCCCCAGACCCCCGGGAGGATCCAAAAAGTAGATCCCTTAATGGGGGCTCCTATAAAGTACCCTTAGTAGTATAGGGCCCCAAATTAGGGAATCTACTTTCTAGATCCTCCCGGGGGTCTGGGTCTAACCCCGCTGCGAAGGTCCCTACACAAGAACGCACAAACCCAACCAACAATATCAGAAGCCTTTCTGGAGCCTCTCCGAGAGTAGGGTTCAGAGTTGAAGGTTTTCTGGTTTAGACTAGAGGGTTTAGGGTTTCAAGGCTTCGCTGCTGCCGTCTTGTTCGAAGTACATGGAGGCTCTCTGCCGAAGTATAAGCTCTAGGCTCATCCCCATCATCAGGCTTTCAGGCAGAAGAGGTTCTGCAGTTTAGGGTTCAGGCTCTGGGTTTCAGGCCGTGCTTAAAGCTTAGATCTTGCATCGCAGGCCTCACGCCTTAGATTTGTAAGCTCGATCCGCGTCCTTGTTCGTGAAATCGATGCGCCCGTTCAGGGCGTTGACCGCCTTTGCGCGTTCAACGACCAGCGGGCAATTGGGGCTTGGGCCGTAAGGCTTTAGGGCTTTAGAGCTTTACGGCTTTAAGGGTCTAGGCTTTAGAGTTAAGGGTCTAGGCTTCAGGGTTTCGGGTTTTGAGTTTCGAGCTTTAGGGCTCTTCATAGCGTGTAGGGTTTAGGGCTTTGCAAGACGTTCATACGAAAGCTTCAGCTCTCAGGTTAAGAAACTCCAAGCTTTTGAAAAAAAAATCGGAACAGTTGCCCCATCCGAAACCCTAAGCGCTGAAGCTGCACAACCTAAACTCTAAAGGGTCCTGAACCCTGACGCCTGAACCCTAAACCCTAAAGCCTCAACTCAAAGCCCTGAAGGGCGAACCCTAAACCCCAAAGCCTAAACCCTAAACCCTGAGGCGTAAACCCCAGTACTACTGTTGATGATACAAATCCTGCATTACCTTAAGGACCCTAAACTATGGGAATTATGGTACATGGGAGTTTCCGGATATAGGGAACCCTAAAATAGTACCCTAAATAGTAGGATCCTTATTATAAGGACCCCCAAATAAGGTAGCCCCTATTTTCGGAAACTCCCATATTCCTTTCTTACGGGTCTCCATCAACCGTAGGCCGGTGAAGATACATTTTGGGAATCGAGGCTGAAGGCTCAGGTGGCACCGCGGACCCTTCCGCTTAAGCGGCAAGCCTTCAGCACATCATCCTTCGATCCCAAAAGAGGAATTCTGGAAAAGAGCAGACCCTAACATATAACCCTACATCATAGGATCCTTATCATATCCCCCAAAGCATGAATTTCCGAAAAGAGGGGACCCTCGCATACAACTCTACATCATAGCATCCTTATCATAAGGAGCCCTGGCTAAGGTCGCCCTGGTCACCCCCCCCAAATCCCCAGAACCTGTCGAAACAAGTGCGGAAGGCTTGCGAACGCTCACCTGGCCTGGTCCGTGTCGCTGGTGATCTTTGCCTTGGACTCCTGTTTGAGCTTAAGCTTTAGGCTTTAGGGGTTTAGGGCTTCCTAGCTTGGGTTAGTAGGGAAGGGAGGAATGGGGTACAAGTATAGCTACTATTACTACCATTCTTCCATTCCCTACTAACCAAAGTAAGCTTCAGGGTTTGGGGTTGGGTTTAGGAAGTAAGGCTGTGAGCACCCTAAATGGGGTTATAAGTATAGCTACCCTGATAATAACCCTAGTTACTACGTCCCATGATCCTTTAAGTAGGGCTTCAGGCTTTGGGGGTTGGGTTTAGGAGTTGCTGTTGAAGTCCCTACCAACCAAAGGTAAGTTATAGGATTATTAAGGCCCCTGTTGTACCCTTATAGATCCCTTATAGTAACCCTTATAGACTTTAGGGGTTGAGGGCTTCCGGCTTTGGGGGGTTGGTTTTAGGAGTTGCTGTTGAAGTTCAGGCTTCGGGTTCAAGGTTTCAGCGTTTTGGGGCTCGGGCTTTGGGCCTAAACCCAAAACCCCAGAACCCCAAAACCCTAAACCCTAAAACCCTAAACCCCCAAACCCCTAAGACCCTAAACTGAAGACTTTGTGTTTAGAGTTTAAGTTCAGCGTGCGCTTCGCAGGTGTGTGGGCCAAGGTCTTTTGCTGTTTGGGGCCGGCTTCAGAAGTCTTGCCAGGGTGCGCTGACAGATTAGCCTAGTGGACCTACTTATTCAGACTCCCTGTAAGATCCCGTAAAACCCTCAACCTTACTTAGAACCCTGTGTACGGCATAAACAAAAACACCCTAAACCCTGAACCCTAAACCCTACACATAAACAAAAACCCACAGCCCTTTTACAACTCTAGTAAACGTTGAGTTTCCAATGTCAGACCTCGAGGTTCGTCTCCACAGCCGTGATGTCGTGGCGAATGGTTGCCAAGATCTCGTCGACCTCTTTGGGGTTGGGGTTTCAGTTTAGAGTTTAGGGTTTAGGGTTTAGGGTTGGGGAGTGCTGGTAAGCTGGGGGTATTGGGGTGTGGGTTCAAGATGGTTGAGGTTTCAGGTGTTTCATGTTTGGGATTTTACGTTGCAGTGTTTGGGCTTCGGGACAAGCCCAAAGCCCCAAAAGCCTAAGCCAAAAGACCCAAAAGCCGGACTCCAAAACCACGAAGCTGAGGCCTACACTTTACAGCCTGTATGCCACAGTCCGAACACCAAACCTTGAACAGTGAAAGCTACATTCCAGAGCCCAAGATTAAAACCTTGAGAGCTAAAAGCCCCAAGGTTCCAACACCCAAGCGCTGAAAGCCTCGAGCTGCAAACTTCCGAGCAAGAACTGCAAACCCACACGCCCCAAAAAAGCAAGAAACACCAGACCATGACAAGACAGCAGCTGGAGCAAAGCCCTGACAAACTCCCAGGCCTTGCGGCGACGGGCGTCCACATCCAGGCGCAGGGAGGACACCATGTCTCGGACCTGGGCAGAGAGGCCAGGCTCAGGCCTGTGCCTTTGGGAGTGTATTATGAAACCCTAAACCCTATAGAGGCCCCATAGCTGTACACCCTAAGCCCTAAGCCCTCAACCCCAAACCATCTAGTGGGTTGAGGGTTTATGGCTTATTGCCCCCCAGACTTCCCAGAAAGAGAAAGAGCCAGCTCTTCCGCTGTAATCTGATGTGGATCCCGGGTCGCTGGGCTGCTAAGGGAATATGTGCAGCTTCCGAACCCTCGACCTTAAACCCCAAAACCCGAAAGCCTCAAACCCAAACTCCTGATCCAAACCCTCAAGCATGAACTCCCCAACCCTGTGATGAATTGTTCATCGCGCTTTTGGCTTCGCGGCCATTGACCTTCCTTCTTCGCGTTCTGTTCAGGCGTTCAGGGCTTCAGGGACTTGGGATTACGATTCTTGTGGTTTTGGGGTTCAGGGTATAAGCCTTAACTTGTAGATAAATATGAACTCGCTAGCTTCGGGGCTGGATCTTTTGGAGCTCAGGGCTTGTGGTCTAAGGCGGCCCTAGCTTAGATTTAGATCCCTTAATTTGGGGCCCTCTACTACTAAGGGCACTTAAAAAGAACCCCCCATCAAGGGATCTACTTTTTGGATCCTCCCTGCCCTGGCTTAGGTCCGGGCGGTCTTGATCGCTGCATCCAAGTCATCATTGGCCTCTTTCCAGGCCACATTGTCAACCTGCAGTGCAAGTGTTGAGGACGAAAGATCTTTCGAGCATAGAGCTCGTTGAACCGCTGCTGCTGGAAACTTTAGACATATTGCCAGGACTACGGCTAGTCACCCCTCCAACTGCCAAAGGCCCGAAGCTACCTAAGTTACAAACTCTGCAATCTGAGCAGTAACGCAAATAGGGGACCCTAATAAAGTACCCGAAATAGTCGGATCCTAATTTTTGGGACCCCAAAACAAGGTACCACATATTCTCCAAAGCCCCCAAAGCTGAGCCTCTGGAATCTCTGAACAAACGGCTTCTGCTTGGCGGTCCCTGGGGAGTTATAACTGGAATTAGTTTAGGGTTTAGGGTTTAGGGGATAACTAGAGTTATAACCCATACTAGGGTGCATACAACCCTTCTGCACTACCCATTGAACCTCCAAGTTCCGAAGTTGCACATCCTGCGTCCAAGCAATGCGCGACGATCGGGCCTTGGTGTCCAGCTTGGTGTTCATCTCGTTCTTCAAGTTGATAATGTCCTGAAGTTGCATAATACAGAGGCTTTACTAATTAGAATAGGGTTTTGTTGTACTATACTATAATTAAATACAATAAGGACACCCCCAAATCGTATCGGCAATTATTTGGGCCCCTAGTCTTTAGGCTCGCAAGGCGTGATCCTGTTTCAGGGCTTTGGGGTTTACGGAGGTTTGTTGGGGTTTTCAAAGGTTTACGTCGCCGTCCTCGGTCAAGTTTTCCTCCTTCTCCTGCATCTGCTGAAGCCTCAGCCGGCGGTTGAGGGTGCCGCAAGATTCGAGAATTTTTGGTTTTCGGCTTGCGATTTGGTGGTTAAGGTTTGGGGGGTTGGTGAAAGTCAGGCGAAGAAGACTGCTGTCGTCGGCTTCAGGCACAGGGTCCCGAACTTGCGGTTTAGGGTTTAGCTCTTGGGGGCGTTCAGGTTCGGGACTCTGTGTGTAGCGTATGGAATCCGGTACATTTGCAAGTCCCCGGCCCTGTCGGCAAGTTCCCTATTGTTTCAGAGGTTTCGGGTTTAGGGTTTAGGGGCAAAGAATACGCATTCCGTGAAGATTCTGGTTGCGGTTGGGATGCTGCGGCGCAGGTCTCCGCCGAGTCCCGCCGAGGGGAATGCCACATGATTCTGTCTCTTTCGCCGCATCATGGCCCTATGGGCTCATGCCACACTGTGGGGTCTGCTAATACGTGAACTTGTCCTCCAAACGTCGACGGCTCACCCGTAGCCTAGGGTCGAGGACCCAAACATCCAAACGTTGCCCCCAAGTCGCGTGTTGGACACATCCTCCATCCAGCTGTCGTGGTTCTTCAGGGCTTCCTGTACGCAGGAAGACGGAAAGCGCTCAGAAACCCGAGAGCGTTGGGAGGGGTGCTATCTGTTGATGATACAAATCCTGCATTACCCTAAGGACCCTAAACCATGGGAATTATGGCAATTCCTTACTATGGCTCATGCAGGATTTATATCATCAACCGTATGCGGGGTTTACAGGGCTTTGTAAGGCTTTCGCAAAGAGCTTGGCTTCAGTTTAGGATTGAGGGTTCAGGGGCGAAGACTCGGCGGTTTTAAAGGGGGTTTGGGGAAGGTTGAGGATCGGGCATGAAAAGGACTTCAGGAGTAAGGCACCGCCCTGAGACTATGGCTTCGCGCGTCGAGATCTCACCCTGTCAAGCTCGTTTTCCAGGGTGGAACTCCACCTTCAAAAGATGACCACAAGTTCGGCTTGAGGTTTAGCTTAGTTGCTGAGTTCATAAGGCCCCCCAAAAGTGTACGCTTTCAGCTTTATGGTGGGTGATATTATCACAAAAGTGTAAAGTGTATCCACTCAGCTACTAAGTTAGGGTTCCTCCAGAACATCAAGAAAAAGTCCAGACAGCCTGCGACTAAGCATCCCGATGCAGAGGTCGCACTCTCTGCTGCTACATCTCTCCTGACAGCCGGATAATTCATCGCTACCCTGAACCCTGAACCCTACACCCTAGAACCTAAACCTACACCCTAAACCCTAAACCTACACCATGTGCCTTTGGGTTTTCTCATCTCCCGGGTTCAGGGTTTGGGGTCTCTCCAGGTTTTTGGGGACTTCTCGCTACACCCTCGCAACCCTGAAAGCCCTGAACCAAGAAGGAGCGCGGCAGCATGCACCTGGATGTCGCCAATGTCCAGGCGCATGGTGGAGATTTCGGCCGTCATGGTAGCCTCGCAGCATGGGAGTGCCGAAACTCTAAACCCTAAACCCTGAAGGGATCCAGACGTTCTCCCCTTGAGTACTATAAGGGGGGCCTGAATCGTCAGTTGGAGTGGTGCGTTGGGCTATGTTGTGCCACTAGTTTGTGGGGATGCTGAAGGGCGCAGATGTCCAACGATTTGTGCTCATTCGGCTTGAAGTATCTTCGAAGACAGGAACGAGTAGGAGGATTGAAGCAAGAACGACTCGTGCTCACCAGGCGTGGGTCCTGCATCATGACGAGGATAGCGCTAGTGACGGCCTAAAACCTAACCCGAAACCCCAAACCCTAAATCCTAAACCCTGAACCCTCAACCTTGACCCTGAACCCTGAGCCCTGAACCCGAAACTCCGAGCCAGGCAAACTTCGAGCTCGGGGCTGTTAGGGGGCAGAACTAAACCCTAAAGCTCCAAGACTCTGAACCCGAAAACCAACTCTTTTCAAAACTAAACGTAACTAAACTCTAAATTCTCAAGCCCTAAACCCCAAGCCCCGAACTCTGAACCCGAACCCCACAAAACCCTACAGATCCCTCAACTCCAACAGGAAAGCCTCCACGCGCTGCCGGGAGGTGATGATGGAGTGAGTAGCATCCACACGAGCCTGGCACACAAGAGACTAAACCTTTGGCCACAAGTGATTCTATAAGCCTTCGTTAAGGGTCTTGAAGGGTTCTTTAGGGGCTCTATGCGCAACGTTTAGGATCCATGGGTCCACAAGAAGCTTCTGGAGACTTTTATCCTTACATTATACTGGAGGTTACAAGTAGCTGCAAGGAGCTTCGATGGATTTACCCTAGGCGTCGCGGCCCCTGATCCTCGAAGCAGGGTCTCGGATTCTCAGCCTCAAACAACTGTCAAACAACCCTCCGTCCAAAGCATCGGTAGCACTCAGCTGAAGCCAGTCAGCCCTTAACACCGAAACAAAACAAGTGGAATGCCTCAAGCCCGGCGCCAAACGTACCGAAGCCATGGGTGTCGGGTCTGCAAGGTCACCCGACGTGAACCCGTAACCCCTCGACTCCTACCCGCCTGCCCCAAAACCCCGGGCAATTCTCTAAATGAGGGTCCCAAAAAGTACGGCGCCCTTATAAAAAGGACCCTAATTTGGAGAACTACCCATACGCACTGGATGCAGGGGCCTTAATAACTAGATATAGGGTTTGGGGTGATATACTATAACTATAACAAGGAATCCCCCTAAACCCTTTTCTAATTATTTATTAGCCCCCTCCCCCAGCCGACTCGCTGAGCTTGGCACACGCATCTCGTCCAAGTCCACGTTCACTGCATCCATGGCTGCCGTGAAGTCCTTCGCAGGGCATCTTCAAACGTGCATGGCTGAGGGGTTGTGCCGTTCTCAGAGTCCCGATACAATTACTGTATAGCATACCCACTAGCATACCCCAAAACCCAACAACGAACGCATCTTGAGAAAAGTGCTTGGCTGAGGGTTGGGTCGTCAGGGCTTTCGGGGCGAAGAGTCTGGAGTCTGGACGGTCATCGTACTAGAGCGCAGGCACAAGCCCCAAGCCGTCACACCGTTCATAAGCTGTTACCACGTGGATTCTATGCACCTAAACTCAAAATACTTACCAACTGGAACCTGTATAGTACAGTACAGAGTACAATAGAGCCCGTCTAGGACCCTTATACAGTCCTGATTACTAGAACCATTTCCGTTGATCCCGGGTAGAGATCGGGAGATACCAACAACAGCCTGAACCCCAAAACCTGAGCTGGAAGTCTGAGATCCCTGGTAGGATGGTCGTCGCTCCAGGAGCCTCCTAATGAGAATAATATGGGCCATTCTTGAGATTCCCAATATCCCCCAAGCTCCCCAAGCTCCCCAACCCTAGACACGGAAGCCTAAAAACTCCCCCCCCCGCACTGGATGATGCCGGGTCCTCCATGTCGCGCTCGCAAGCCAAGACAATGCGGCGGATGTGGTTCACCTCGCCCTTGTTATTGCCTGCCGCTGTTCAAAATGAATGGGCATTCAAGAGTAGATCTCCAGGGTCGACGACCCTAATATAGGGGCGTCAATAATCAGAATAGGGTTTTGGTGCCCACTATATTGTACTTATAATAAGGAACCCCCAAAAAAAGTGTAGGTAATTGAGGCCCCTACATTAACCCAAACGCTCGACCCCTGGACTGCGAGGTTTGAAGTTCGCTGCCTCCGGCTTCAGACTTCAAGAGTTCTGGATTCAGGGCCATACTGCTGATGGACAAAATCCTGCATGACCCTAAGGACTCTACACTATGGGAACTATGGTATATTCCTTATAATGGGTAATGCAGGATTTTGTCCATCAACAGTAGCACTGAACGAGAAGTGCTGCACCCGCAAAGCCCTGACGCCCTGAATCTTGAAATTCCTACCCTAGCCCTAAACCCTAAACCTTAAACCCGAAACTGACGCCTCACAACACAACCCGAAACTGTCGACCCTGAAATGCCAGACCCCAACCACCCCAACCGCTTGCACGCGCCCTAATCCCCGCAAGCCTAAGTGCTGCGCCTTGAAGCCCTTAGCCTCTAAAACCTTGAATCACACGCTCCTTGACGTAGAAAGCCTGCACCCGAAAATTACTCAACCCTTTGATAGACTTCTTAAAGACCCCTTTGAGGAAACCTTCAAGCAATCTTCTACGGAATCCTGCACCCGAAATTCCTGGGTTCCCGACCCAGCAAATCCTTGAGCTCACCGACGTCGTACTTCAGCTGATCAAGATCCTGACCAACTAGCGTTTAAGGCTTGGGGGTTTAGGATTTAGGGATTCAGAGTTCAAGCTCAAGGTTTAGGGCTGAGCTGGGGGTTTGAAGATCGGGGCTTAGGGTTTACGGTTAGGGTCATGGGTTTGGGGTTTAGCCGTTGTGATCTTGAAGTTTGAGGTTAGGAGGTTTAAGATCTTCATGCCTTAGGGCATGAAGTTTGGGGTGCAGGGCTCAGAACGAATAATGCCACCAGCTCTCAAGGTCGAGCTCGTGCTCAACCTCCCTCCACACTTCACTGGAGAGTTTCGGTCCTAGGACTTGTGAGTCATCGCCACCTTGCCGAGCAAGAATCTTGAACCCTGAGACCCTAAACCCTAAACCCTAAACCCTAAACCCTAAACCCTAAACTCCCTAAACCCTAAACCCTAAACCCTAAACCCTAAACCGTGGCTCTGATTCACCCGACACCCCAAAGCCTGAACACCGAAACCCCAGGGAAAAGTGACCGGAATCCCGGGATCGACCTCGGCCATCGTGTCCAGACCCGCCGCCCCGCCGGCACCGTCCACCTGGGGCGGTCTTCTCAACATCAACATCACCTTCGTGGACATCATCAGCATCATCATCACCATCACCATCCTCATCATCACCGTCATCACCCTCAACATCATCATGTACAACATCCGGTACAGTAGCAGCCAAAACAGCAACGTAGTCGCAAAGACATCCTGGCACTCTCATTTTGTTAGTTGATGGTGGGTGTGCGGACAGCGTAAGTGGGCTGGCGGGAAAGCTGAAAGCTTGGCGAGAGGCATCGGGTTTGGAACCAACGGTGTACACACTTGAAGTGTCGGGCACAGTTGGTGCGACAATCGGTCACGGAATCCAATTCCGGACACAAGCATCCGTTCTTTGCTGCTACGACAGACACCACTGGTCTCTCAGCGTGAACTAGGTTAAACGCCAAGCCCTGAAGACAAGGACTCTCCGAAGCCCTCAGACGCCAAGGATCTAAACCTTAAAGCCCTCATTCAGACCGCGAGAACCTGCAGGAAGCGAGAAGATCAAAGCCAGGGAAACGTAAAGAAAAGAGCAGAAAGAACAATAAGTAACGAGCAGACGACACCCCGACGTGACAAAGTCCAAAGCTAGGCCGCCGGTTTCGTTGCTGCTGCCCCACGGTTCACGTGGCTGAGCTTTTTGTCCTTAGGTTTTACAGGGATTTCAAAGATTTATAAAGGATCAAAAGGTTTTGGGGCTTGTGGGGACTCGGCGGCCAGGATATAAAGTCAGGGTTTCTGGTTTTAGGGTTCGGATACTCCGTGGCTTCAGAAGTTTGCAGGCTTCGTGAGGTTCTACTTGGCGCGTGGATCGAGGACTTCGTGAACGGACCATACGTACTCATGCCCATATCCAATCGATGCGATTCCGGGGGTGGCTGGTATGGTGCTGGCCCTGAGCAGAGAGATTTTCAGCCGGCATTTAAGCCTCCTAAACCCTAAGCCCCTAAACCCTTAAACCCCTAAACCCCTAAACCCCTAAACCCTAAACCCTGAGCGATTGCAACAAGTTTCAGGCTCAGAGATGTCAAGCTATGAACTTCAGAATTATCTGAGCTTCTCGCTATTATGGTAACCTAAACAACTTCCTTAACAAGAACCCAGTTACCCTAAATCCCATGCGCTGGATCGACCCGAAACCCTGAACCATGCGCCATGTATCCAGACCTGCACAGGACCCAAGATCCAAAGCCTAATATCGGCGCCTTGCCCATTACATGGACCATAACGGGCCCCCAAACCCTATTCTAATTGTGAAGGCCCCCTATACTAGAACCAAAAACCCAAACCCTGAACCCTAAGAATCTCTCGTACCTCGACATAGGCCCTTTCTCAAGAGGTCCATCTCGCCAAGCACAGCAGGTGTATGCGGGTGGTTTTTGGGGGCGTGGGGTTTACTAAACCCCAAGCTCCAGAACCCACAAAAAGCCTCAAGAAACCCGACATGAAAGATCCTGAAAGTAGCGTGCACCTTTCAGTCGTGCTTCTGGGGCGAAGGACTCTGAAGAGTTACCTACGTACATTATTCCTGAGGATTCCTCCCCCAAATTTATCGCAAAACTTGGTTTTGAGTATCAAGGTCCCCAGATGATTGTCAAACCCCACGAACTGGAGGCTTTGTTGGGGCCCGAGACTCTTATATCCCTTAACTTAAAGGGATTGGCCTGAATAGTAGGATCCCTGATGCGATTTCAGATACATTACTTAATTAAGGACATTCGAGTCTCTGGGTGCATCAGAAGCGCAAAAGCAAATATTCGGATATGGGTGTCCATACAAACCCCCTTACAATGAAGCCCAATAAGGTATGGATATTGGGTCCCTTTGTTCTTCATCATACGGCTTAGGGTTGAGGATTTAGGGTTTAGGGCTTCAGGCGTCCTGGCTCGAGGCAAGGTAGCGGCTAGTCTCTCCGTTTGGAGTTTTGCTTGCCCGCTCTTGCCATTCCGGACCCCAGCATTCCTTGTGAACTGCGACTGGCGCAGCCTCTGGAGGGCTCGCCCAGGGCCAGCTTGGCCCCTTCTTTTGGTCACTGCTTTTCACTAAGCTGACCACTGCCAGAGGCGCTCTCTGGTGTGTTGTTTTACCCTGGTATCTGGTGATATTCTGGGCTCTGGGTTGCTGCCTTAACTGAGCCAACCCTCGGGCCGTGCGGCCTTTTATGACTGTCCTGGCGAGGTACCTCCCGATTCTACCGCTTTTATTGCTGGGATTGGGACTGCTTTGGCTTGGGCACGACAACGGCGCGGAGACGCCCACGCAGTCCCGCCTGGCATCGGCGTCAAAGGCGGGCAAGGCACAAGGCCAGGAAGGCCGCGAGAAAAGGGCGCTCTTCAGCGGCGCAGCTTTTTCTGCTTGCGACCCACCACGGGAGCATGGCTCCCAAACAAGGCGGTGCCGGCAGCCAGTCATCGCAGAAGGGCGGCCCAGGAAAGGGCAAAGAGAAAGCGGACAACCCGCAGGTTACAAAGATCGAATTTGGACTGCCCCCCTCGATGGTTCAATCCTTACAATCGATCGCGACCAGGGCTACACAGGACTTGTGGAGCCAGACAGCCTTTACTGCCGAGAATGCCACCGTCGAACAACTAGCCCAGCGGAGTGCAAACGCCCTGGGCCGACTGTCGAGGCGGTTGAACGGCAATGTCCGCGCCAAGAAGGACCTTCAGGATGCGCTGCTGGCATGGCTGTCTACAATGGGACAGCATCTTTTGGGCCTTGCCCACCGTGTAGATGCTCTCAGCCGGAAAGTGGACGAGGATACGGTCGCTGCAGTGGAGGAAATGCGCCAAGTCATGGCGGCACAACCCTCTGTGACCACGGAGGAGCAGCTCGACCGTGCGATCCAGTCTCTGGGACCAGTGTGGTCCGAGGGCCAAGTGTTGGAGGTTCAGCGTTTGGCAGCAGCTCTTCGAGCCTTCTCCACGACCCTGGCCATGCCTTCGGGGACTCACGGTCCAGCGCCAGGGCTTGCAAATGTGCACAGAGGCGGCCCCTTTCTCGGGATGCAAGCTGCAGCAGGACCCTCTTCGGATGTTCCTATGTTTCCTGGCCCTCAGCAGCCCGCTGGAGACCATGCTGCCGACCACAGCTCGGAGATGAGCTTTGGGCCCTTGGGCAACACATCCAGCCAGGCCCTTTCCGGAATGGACGGTCAGCGAAGTGGCCGACGGCGGAAACGCAGCGGAGGCAATGTCGATCGGCCCTCCAAAAGCCCGCGTCGGGACCTGGAGGGTGCACCGTGGCCTGGAGAAGCCACAGGACGTACCCCCGAAGGCCTCAAACGCGATGCCCAGACTGCTGTTGCCGACGACGACCCAGAACTACTGCCGGCCACTGCAACAGAAAGTGCCTGGGTTGTGTCATGGTTGGCTCTCCTTCGCTTCGCTGTGGACAGTGGAGCCGACTTGGTGGGCGAAGTCAGCTGCTGCCCCCAGCAAGACAAGGCCATGCAGCTCACTCTGGATGCTCAAGCGCAGGATGTGGTTCTACGCACTGCCGAATCGGTCTGGACTGCGTTGGGAAATGCTGTGGCGGACCCGGCTCATGCCGACCTGCAATCGCTTTTTCTATCTCTGCAGGGATTTCTACACAGTGTACGGGGATGCGCCAATGCTCTGCCACAGGTTCGTCAGGGACTGCTGGTGGCTGCGCTCCTGTCCAATGGGAACCTCAGGGACCCGTTTGCATATGCCCCCTCTACCGCTCAGGAATGGTTGTTTCCGGACCTTCTCCTGGAAGCGGGGGTGCCATTGCGCGGGTTTGTGGCAAAGGATGCTTCAATGGATGCACACGTACAAGTTTTGCTGCGCATGCCTTCGCCTATGAGGCCAGTTGGACCGGACACCTGCCAGAACGAACTCGAGTGACCTTTGATGTTGTCGAGCAGCATCGGCTTTCCGGCACAGCTGTCCCAGCGGGCTGTGGTAATAGAGACTTCGTTTGGTCGCAAGTTTCTCTTACCACGGTCTGCCTTTTCCTCGGGCGCTGTGTGCTACTGTGTATAGCCCTGCGTAGAGTCAGTGTCGTCACGTCGCTTTTTCTTTCGGCCTACGGTCCCAAGCTTTCTTGGTTTCGGGCGTGGCGGCTTGGCAGTACCTGTTCCGCTTCTGCGTGGTGGGTCGCGGCCTCCTTCTGCCAGCCCTTCCCTATGGCACTCTGTGCGGTTACTAGCGAGCTTTTGGCCCTCCACCCTGCTCTGGTCCGCACTTTCCGCTGTGTCTTGGCGTGGCTTCCTTGCAGTTGGTGCTCATGCCTTGCCGTGCAGGCCGACTTCCTGAGGCAATGTGGCCCTACTTGGGCGCACAGACACTGGCAGCATTGCTCTTCATCTGCAGCGGCCTTGATTTGGGCCTGCCTGTCCCTTACGTCCTCCTCATGGGAACATGACCATGCTTTGTGCTCGGTTTCCCGACTTGCTGGTCGTAAAGTTCAAGGATCACGTTACTGCGTTAAGGCACGTCCTCAGAGGCATGCAGCCCCAGGCCTGCACGTCGCGCTGCTGTTGCTGTACTTCTCAGTTGCTGATGGGGCTACTCTCAACCTTGGGGCCGCGGTTGTCTCTTCTTGCTTCATGCATTCCCCTGAAGCTGTGCAGCTCCACGCCCACGGATTTCACGAAGGCCTGCCTGTTCTCAGTACCGGACCTGTCCTCCCCACCCCGACCGTGGAGGAGATGTGCGAGGTCTATCCGGTTGGGCGTACGGGGAATCTTCTTCTTCCTCGCACAGATCGGAACCGAAGGCATCTTTCTGTCTTTGTGGGTACGCCTCCCGGCGCTCCGATCCTGGAACCGTGTCCCATCCCTCTCCTGGTTGATGAATGGCTGCATGGCCCTCTTCTCCACGCTAGGTTGGCAGCTTCGCTGGGCTTTCCCTCTGGGGTGTTCTCTGCCTCTGCTGTCCGGGGTGTCCTCCCAGGACTGCCAGGTGAGCAAATTCTTCTGACCCCCGCTGCCTGCTCCTGGCGACAAGTGTGGCTGCCTGTGGATCTGCGTCAAATCGGAGGCCGTATCTGTATGCTTCAGTGCCCTCGTGACTCCACTTGCAGAGCCATTGCCCAACTTGCCCTTTCCGCCCAATCCTTGCAAACTGAGGTCGACCTTCTCCTTGCTCGATGCCCGTGGGGCTGGTTGACTCTTGTGTCCCAGCCCCTTTTCTTGCAAGATGTTGACACTCTGCAATTCCAGCTCGGGCCGTCTACGGGAGCGCTGGAAGGGCCTATAGGTGCCTCACTTGACCCTCCACTGTCTCTGTTTTCGACCATGCAGGTCAGTTTGCCCTCTGCTCCACTCAATCAAGAGGCTTTCCCAGGTCACTCACACAACCAGGCCATCCTCATCACTCCGAATGGCCTGGTCTATGTCGAAGCCCCGGTCTTTGCGGACGCAGCCACATTTAGGCGCATCGTCTCGACTCGGGCCTCAGCCAGTGCCACTGGAGGAATCATGCGCATTTGGCATCCTCTCCCTTCCCTGCCACTTGTCCAGTTTCTGGAAATCCACTGCGTGGGCGACGAAGTGCCGTGCATTTTGGATTTCCGGCCTGTGGGGTGGCGTCTTACTACGGTGTGTCTTGCCCCGCCAGTCACAGCTGTCGCGGCGGTTTCAGCTGCCTCGACCCGGGAACGTAATAGCCTCCCCCTCGAATGGGTCGAACAATGTGCTAGAGGGGGTTTTGGGCTGCTGCACAGGGAGTTGGCAGTTCTTCCTGATCAGGTTATTTCGGGGAGTTTTCCTCTTGTCATCATGTTCTTCCCACATGTGTTCCGTCAGGACTCCTCCTCTTCGTCAGAGGAGCAGGTTGGAGGCTGGGATGGCCCGGATGCGTCAGACACCATTTCGGCGCTTCAGCATACCCTGCTGCCTTCACCTGCCCGCGCTGCCACGCTTCCAGCATGCACGGGGATTTCGCCTGAAGCTTTCCTGGCTCCCTCAGGTTTAAGCCCCCCAGAGCTGGCTGCCGAGCCCAGCTCCGCCGGGTCAGCTGTGATGTCTTCTGCTATGTGGATGCAGCACATCCTGATCGGCCTTTGGCTCACCCATGACCTTCCGCTCGGCCGCGGGGCACTTTCTGTGTGGAGTTTAACTCCCCTACTCCTGTTAGTGTGGTCTAGTACCGCTGTTCAGACCCGTAGTGAGCCCTCTTCCCCTCATGCCTTTGTCGTTGCAGCCTCCAGAGCCCCCGACCGTCATGTTGTTGCCCCCGCGGGGGTCCACGCACATCTCCAGGCCTCTTGGCTTCAAGTTGGGGACTTCGGCGATGGGACGCTGTGGCAGACGATCCCGCTCTCAGGGGTTAGCTTCTCTATCAGCTATCACTTGCCGGTTGTGGGTCCCGGGCTCCTTTGTTCGCCTTGAGTTTGCCAACACTGCTAGTGCCAGAGAGTCCTCTGCGGAACTCTACCGCCGGGCTATCCAGCTCGGCCGCCCCCACATCGTTGCTGCCTCTGCGGGACCTACACTTGATGCGGTCCACTTAGTCACCTTGCCACCTAGGAGCTCTACGCTGACCGTGCTTTTTGATGTTGGGGTTGAGATCGTATGCGTTGAGCTTCCCCTTGATTATTCTGCCGAACAGGTCCTGGCAGCCGCGCAAGGTGCGGCAGATTCGACCGACATTCAAATCCTTAAGGGTTCGGCCCATAGGCTTAGACAGGGCGATGTTGTTAAGGTTGTGGTTAATTCCGCTGCCCAAACTTTTGATGTCTCGGCCTTCACTCTGCCACATTTTGCCCCCTCTGCGTCCCGATGGTTGCATGAGACGCGTGTCGTCTCCCTGCTTCACTCAGGAGAAGGCGTCCTCTCCTTTGAGGTGCCTCACGCGGCTGAGGTCGACTCTGCCCTTCTTCATGCCCTCCTGCGGCAGGTCCTGCCTGGGAAGCACATTTTCATCGAGATTCCCGATACCGGGGCCCTTCCCCATGCCACGTTTGCTGCAGTGAGTTCGGGGCAAGACTGCATCATTTATCGTCTTACTGACGCCTCTGTCCCGACGGCCCCGGGGCTCTTTCTTGCATTCTCTGGAGTATTTGACTCCTTTTCTGCCTTCTTGGAGAGTCTCCTCAGCAGTGGGCGGCCCGCCGCCGGGCTCCTCCGCAGCCTGCGCACCTTTGGTCTCTCTGTGCTTACCTGGGAACGCGCCACCATCCCTACCCGTGACGACTGCCACTTCTGGTATGTCCATGTGCAAGCCGATTTCGCGCGGGCGCGGCGCCACGCTGTGCATTTCTTTGGGCACCCCCGCGCCATTCGGCAACCTTCTGTGCTGCCCCCGCCTCGGGCGAGAGCTGTTACACATGTGGGTGTTCAAACCAATGCCCCCTTTATCACGGCTAGCACCCAGGCCGCTGTGTTGCAATCACCCCCGTCCTCATGTGGGGCAGGAGTTGTGCCGGATTCCGCGTCTGAGCTTGTTAGCCTGTGGTGTGATTCTTGGCACATTAAATGTATCATAGCCTGCATTCCAGGTTTCACTGTCTGGGCACTGAGGGAAGGCGGCCGCCTTGTTGGAATGTGCACTCCTGTCCCGACTTGGGAAGCTGTTACTCGAGCACTTTCCCTCTCTCTTTGGGAACTTCCCCAGACCTTCCTCTCTGATAATAATCAGGTCTGGCCGTACCCTCGGGATCTTGCGGACGTCACCAGGAAGTGCGTTAGTGTAGGATATGATTCGCCCGAGGGCGTTTCGCAACTGCTGCGTCACTGCACAGCACCTTCTCCCAGCCCACCGCCCTCTCCCCCTGCCTCCCATTCCGCTGCACTTGGCTTAGCTTGTCTTAGTAAGGGTAAGCCTTGGCTGGGGTTTCTTCTCTTCGCTATGCAAGCGGGATCTGTGCAGCTCGCGATCACGTCAACTGCCCTCACTTCGCGAGTGGGAGCCGATGATCCTCTGCTTCCTCGGCGAGACTATACGCGGACCTGCACCCTCTCCTGGACTCATGAGTTAGGGCGTCAGACTTATGGCTTTGCGGTTGCCGCCCCTCAACTCGGCGCTTATGTGGAATGCACCTCGCCGTGGTCTGAGGTCCAAATCCATTTGTGGTTGCCAGGCCAAGGTCCGGTTCACATGCGAGTCGGTGCCCGCCACATGGACATGCACCTCAGCGCCTACTTGGGTGCTTTCCTGCCCGATTGCGAATACGGTCTTCATGTTGCGTACGACTCCAACCCTCAGGTCCTAGACTTGGTCGTCGCGCCTCCTTCTCCTGTGGCGTGGTGGATCCTGAGAGACTCTATTGGGTGCGAGTTGCTTCGGCCGGTCATCCAGCACTATACTTCGCACTGCTCCTTTTTCTTCTGCACAGTCGAGCCCGACGGGGTTGTTCTTAGTGTTGAGCCCTCAGCCGAAGTCCGACAAATGTCTCCGAGCCCGCAGGGGGCTAGAGCTTTGATCTCGCGTGCCCTGCCCGGCCTCATTGGTCAGGTGATTGATGGCACGTTGCTGATTGCTGCAGCTAAAGCAGGGCCTTTGGTTCTTGGTCACCTTGCAATGCTCTTGTTAACTTTTCATGCGGCTGCGATGCAACCACCGCAGGCGCATCAACTTGTACCGGTTGCTGAGGTTGCTCCCTCACCGTCCACCATGCGCATCTGGACCTTAAATGTTCCGCAGCCAGTCGACCTGCCTTGGCGTCCCCAGGGGTACCAGACCCGGTGGCTCCGTGAGTTGATGTGCCGTCTCCACCATATTCCGGATCCGGGGGAGTTCCGTTCCACTCACTCCCAGCAAGGGGGTACTGTTCAGCACGTTCTCTTTGTGCCTGTCGTACCTCCAACCCTTCCTACGGCCAGGTTCTGGCTCCTCCATTGGGGCGCCGCGGCGGTCGTCACCTTCGGTCACTCGCCCTTCAATTGGGAGGTTGTCTATGCTCACCTCCGCACTCTGTTTCAAGGTGGCCAATTGCCGGAGCGGTGCCCCACACTTGCTTATGCTGGCCAGTTCTATGCCCCTGGCACGGTTCTGCCGGACTTCCCCTCGGGTGCTATTATCCAGATTTTAGTCGGGGCCCTTGAGCGGCTACCTGGTGACGATGACCCCTGGAACCCGGAGCCTTTCGTTGTTGAGAGTCCTTACTTTCGTCACATTCCCAGTCGCGGCCCTGCGCTTGAACCGGCCATTGTTCTGGATGGTCATGGCAACAGGTTGGCTGCCGGAGCTCTGCAATCCCCTCTGGTCGATCAGGGGGTTCAAACCGACTTTTCCGGAAATGGCACTGGCCTTGATCATGCAACTGTCTCCAGGGTGCATCATCTCTCCCAGGAGCTCTCGTTCCACACTGCTCGGCTCTGGGCCGGCCTCGCCGAGCCTGATGCCGAGCCGGCAGGCGACAATCCACCTGTCTTGAGACTCTCCTCCCAGAGTGCATGCGCGGCTGATACCTCTACGACTGATCTTTTGGATCTCAGTGATGCAGCAGGTTCTCAGGCTGTGTGCAGACTGCCGTGGGCAGCTTTGCTTCTTCTTGGCGTTCAGGTGCCTCGCGCCCTTGGGGCGGTTGGGAGTCTCCTTGTTCTTGCTACCCTCAACTCGGGGTCCATCATTACACCACCGCAGGCTAGCTCTGAGGAAGAGCAGGTTAATGATACTGCCCCTCCGGCTGTGCAGGCCACTAATATGTCAGCGGCGGACTGGGCCCCCGCACCCGTTGTGCGACCAGCCGGCCCTCCCCCGCCAGAGCCGGTGAATGCTCCCTTCCAACCTCACATGATGTTTCTTCGCGCGGCGAGGCCACTTGAGGATTATGCCTTGAGACAGTGGCCCTCCACGGTAGATAGGGAACCTGCAGCCGATGAAGATACGGTGCGGCGGGTCCAGGCTGACCTCCAAGGCCTTCGATGCGGGATCCGAACACTGGCAGCCGCGATCCCACTTGGCACGCCCTTTTGCATCCATAACCCGTTTACCGCACGGCAGCAGTGTGAGTTGGTCGAGTATTCAGCGGGCCCCGAAATTAACCCCTTCGTCCTCTTCGCGGGTCATGCTAGAGGCCGCGGCTGGGCAGGTCTGGTGCTCCTCCAGCCCCAGCCTGATGCCAGGGCAGTTTATTTGATTGGCTGTCCTCAGGCGGCCGGTAACGTAGCTGTAGGGGTCGCTATTGAGCACCGCTTAATTCCCTGCTGCCTCCCCGCGACTGTTGATATCGCTGCCCTCAGGGCCCTGCGCTTGGATGGCACCGAATATGACCTTCGGCCGCCTGAGGTCCAGGAAGGCACACAGGTTGTCCAGTTTAGGAACGGCGATTGCCTCTCAGCTAGGCGGCATGTTCCCCGTCGTTCCCACCAAGGCCAAGCTAGCCGGGATCCTGCTGCTGCTAGTGGAACGGTGAGTGCGGGCGAGCGCGTTGCCAGCCCTGCTGTGACGAATCCGCAGCCATAGCTGCCTCACCATCTCTCTGGGCCTCTCTTTTACTCGTGCAGGTTCTTCGCAGCCGCCTTGGCTCTACCTGGCTTGTTGCTGCCATTCTACCCAGCCTGGTCCAGAGTATGCACAGACCTGGAGGCTTCCCATGGGGGACCGACTCGGCGAACCGTTTATCCCTGCCGAGGATCCAGTCTATGTAGTCCTGCATAGTCCCTTTTTAGGGGTTTTCCCTCCCTACACGGCATCTCAGGAGACCCCCCACTCGCAAGTCTGGGCGCAGTTCCGCAATGATGACCCGGGTTGGGCGGAAGACTTCTTCCCGGTTTGGCCGGGGCCGGCATTCAATGAACTTTCTATCGTCCCAATTGGACGTGATCCAGCTTTGGTCACATTGATGCTTATCTGGCGGGGCCACCACCGGGCCACACTTGTTCCCCGCACGATGACCGTGGACTGGATTACGTCCTTCACGGCCAGACATATCAATAGCGCTGTCGGGGGTGTGTCTCTTCCCCACGGGCTTGCCGTCTGCGAACTTTTTGATGTGCCACCTGCCGCGTTTAGGTTCCGCAACGGGGACGTCGTGTATGTACATGATCCACCAGATGACCCCGATGAGCCACTCGAACTAGTTGAGCCCTGGCATCTACAGGATGGCCTGGCTGCACATCACGCCCCTTGGGCGGTCGGATTTCAGCTCATGTTCCCGATTTCAGTCCATTTGCTGCGACCTGGAAAACCGCCCTTGCTCACCACTATACCGGCCGGCGAATCTTGGTGCCCTGAAGCGTTCTCCTTTTCAGGTGAGTTCCAGCACCATTTCCCGGGCATGTGGACACCTGTCCAATGGACGAGTGCCCGTGCCCTGCAGCTTATTGAGGTCAACGGGGTCGCTGCTCGAGTCAATGTTGTCGCGGCCACGCCGGAGGGTCGATTATGCCGTACTGTCGACCGCATTGCCTCTCGGCACAGCGTTGCTGACCAGCTCCACTTCTGTCCAGATTCGATACAAGTTGGCGGAGTGCCTGCGTATGCCTTGGACCAGGCCTGCGAACTCAGGAACGGTGATGTGGTGTTTGGGGCATTCGATCGGAGTGCATGCCCTCGTAGCCCAGGCTCCCCGAGCTGGTGGCTCGGTGTGACCCTCACCACCTTGCATCTGAGCCAGCAGCGGCAGACGTGTCTGCCTCTTCTTGTGGGTTATACCCTTTCCTTCCACGCCGGTCTCAGCGACCCATATGCCATCACTCCCTTTCATGCGCCTCACACTGCCGCTGCACTTAGCTGCCAGTCGCTAATCGGAGGGTCCTCCTGCTCTGCTGATGAGGATCCTCCCTGGAGTGGCATGGCCCTGGGCTGCGCCTCATCTGCCATGGGTGGCCCACAGTCTTGGTGGCGGGGCTCTCTTTGCTGCCCCATCCTTCCTGGTGTCTCGGCCGCCCTCCTGTTTTCCGGCCTACGCGGCATTGCCCTTCTGGCGGCCTCCGCGTGTATCCCTGCTTCTCAGGCCATGCTTCAACAAGCGTCCGCCTCGTCAGCCACTGTCCCGGCTGCTGCAGCTCCTCGCGTCACTGTTACGGTTGCTAACCCTTTTGCCCCTTGGAATCGGGTCGAAGCCGACCCGCGCAACCTCTTTGACGATGTCGTCGCTGATGCGCATCACACTTTAGCATCTTGGCATCAGGGTTTTGCAGCTACGGGACTTGTGCTGGACAGCACCCAGGTTGTTGTTCCCTTGCCCGGGCGTCGCTTGGTCTGCTTGTTGGTGCAAGGCATGGGTCAGCTGCTTTGCGTTGTCCTGCCAGCTTTCATGACCCCGCGGGATCTCACGCAAGCCATTCAAATGCGACTCGGCAAACGAGTCAGCGTCAGCCTGCTACCTGGACTGGCGGCTACTGTCCGTGCCAGCCGTCCGGTCCTTGCTCTGAGATCTGGGGATATTATTGCTATCAGCCCACTTCAGCTTGACCCACTTGCCGGGCCGCGGAACCCACCTGTCTTTCTCACATGGGGGGCTGCCCATGCTGCGGCCGCGTGGCACTCAGACTTTCTCGTTGCTCAGGCCTCCTGTGTTCTGCTGTGGTCGCCTGGCCGCCCTACTCGAGTCGCCCTTTTAAGGCATCAAGCCCGATGGATTGCAGCTGCCGCCACGGTACATCACCATGAACAAGAGCTAGGAACCCACCGCTGGGCACCTTGCCATGGTCACCTCGGCGCCCCACCTTGGCTCGTTGAACAGTCTGAGGTGGCTGGCCGCGCTAATATTATCCAGTCCTGCGACTCTACTCGTTGCATTGAAGTGGAGCGCGACGCCCATGACCTTCACATCTCAGGTTATACTGTTCGCCCTGCCTCAAGTCACGCCTGTCGCACTGCCACTGTGCGCGATGGCGACTGGTGGGTCCACTCAGCGGCCGCTGGGCTGCTTGGGCGCCATCTCTCCTTCCCAGCACAGCTCGCCTGGCTTCTCTACAGCCTTGCCGCCCATGCCTGGGCTGGGTCTTCGAGCTGCCCAAGTGTTGACTCCTCCGAGGCTAGAACCATCCGCACCCGCCGGCGACCCAGCCGTAGTCGTTCACCGGGTTCACAGTGGCCGGGACGGTTTTTCCCTCCTCGAGTTGACTTTAATGATGGGGAGCCCTACGTTCCGCAGAGTGGCTGGCAACCTGACGCCCCAGACGGCCCACTCGCACGCTGCTTTCCGGGGCCTCGGCCGCAGACCGCCAGAGTCCTCTGCCCCCTGCGGGGCTGGAGCGAGCTCTTGTTTATTAACCTGGCAGGCACCTGGCGGGAAGTGGAGCATGAAGGTGCTCGGCACTGCGGTCTTTGGTCGCGCAGGTTCTTTCCGGTGCGCGCTGTGCTTCCCGTCTCGCAGCTCACTCTTGCTCCAGTGGCCCCGTACGGCCTCGCTACAGTTGTCTTTCACATGGAAAGTTGCTCAGCCGTGGCTTTGGCGTCTGTTGACTCCAGTTTGGTTGACCTTCAGCGGCTCGCCGCCCGTGTGTTCACGCATGCTCGCTACTGGCGAGTGGTTGCGCCGCCTGTGTTACGCGCGGCCAACCCGCACACTCATCTACGGTTGCGTAACGGCGACGCCTTTAGTCTTGTTCCTGAACAATCTCAGCCAGAGGCCACCCGCTTCCCACTGCTGCAGTACCCCTCCCTCGAGCGGGCCCGACAGGTTGCCAGCTGGTCTCTTCCTTTTCGGTTTGACTCTGGTGGGCTCGTAGTTCTCTGGTACTCTAATCGTCGGCATGGGCACTACATTAGGATTAGGGATACGGGCTACTGGGACCCTGAAGGTCCCACCTTTTGGAGCCTTAACGGGGAGGCTTTGTCAGGTTCATGGGTCCCGGTCCTTACGGGTGACCTGTCGAGTCTTCACTTGGTGCATCAAGCTTCCGTTGGTGAGGCGCACGTTCTCTTCCTTCTGCCGCCGGACCTCATGCCACAGGGCCGGCGGCTCGCGGGCTGCAATGCTTATCGTGCCCCTCCTGGGTGGCGACTTCTGCCAGCTCTGCAATATGTTCGCGCGGACAGCCCTCTTCGAGACGGCGATGTGCTAGTCATCGACCCAGACGCCAGCATGGTCTGGGACCCCTTCGGTCCACTTCCCTCTGCGGCCGTAGAGGAGTCTCATTCTGATTGGCCCTCCTGCTCGTAGGGGCCGGTTGGCTTGCCTTTCTTGCTGTCGCTGCTCGATGGCCCCGTTGGCTTACTCTCGCTCTCCTTTCTCATTACGTGTGTGGCATGGTCCCGGTCCTGGAGGTGCCTGATAGGCCCATTCGCACAGGCCTGTACCCATGGCGAGCCAAGCCCGGCGAGGAAGACCTTGTCGACCTCTCTCCTGGCACTGAGATTGACGTTGTGTATCTCAGCCCTTTCACTGGTCCGCGGGAAGCTGGACGTCTCCCCACTGTGTCCACACTTGAGGATCTGAGCTCGCTTGCGCGGGCGTGCGATCCTGAATGGGCTGCTGATGTTGCGCCGGTGTGGCCCACAGCGGCCATCCCTGCCCTGCTTGTTGTGCCCAGGCCCCTCTCTCTCGATATGGTGTGTCTTGCCATATCGTCCTTGGATCAACACTTTTCCATTCTTGCTCCATGTGTTACTTCAGTGTCATGGCTCAGTTTTGCTCTTCGTTTTCTGCAGCCTATGCAGACCCTGTCCGTGCGAGCTCCCAGCCCTCTCACTGCTGAGGCCACCACGGATCAAAATGTTAGATGGCGCTCAGGGGACCTCGTTGTCGCTCTTCCGCCCGCCGCCTTTGTGCCTGAGTATCAACCGCCCTGCTTCCACTCTGACACTCAAGTTCGTCATTGCGCCATATGGTCGGTTGATTTTTCAGTTTCCTTTCGAGCGAACTTCGTCCTGTGGCAACCGGGCGTCAGGGCCGTTCGGGGACATGCCCCCGCAGGAGCTCGCTGGCAGGCACTCGACTTCACCTTCGAAGGGGAATTCAGCCAACATTACCCCGGTCGCTGGGTGCCCGTCCCCTGGATTGCCCAGGACCACACGCATCTCGTCCTGCTTCCTGAGGACCCATCCCGTGCCAATGTGGTGGTGGAAGCGGATGGTCAATGCTGGTGCGCTTCCATCACTGCTGTCACAGATGCGTGGCAACTGTGGACTGAACTGCCGTCTGTCTCCGGTCAACCTCGGGTCCTCGGCGTTTCTCATCGCGAGCTTAGGCAGGGAACTACCCTACGTAGCGGCGATGTGGTGTCCGAGGCCTCCGGACGCTTTACACCTTGGGCCGTTTTCAGCTTGATCGGGGTGTCTGGGTGGCGCACTGCTGGGCCTAGCGTGGTTCTCCTCGCTATTGGACTTGCCTGGGGGCATTCTGTCGGGGCTACTCGCTACACTGGCGCTGCCCCGAGCTCCTCTCTGGACCGGCACGCAGAGGGCCCTCTCTTGCCAGACTGTTTCCCTACTTGCCATCGGCTGTGGGATCCTGCTTGTGGGGTCCTTGGACCCTTCCGTGGTACCTCTTTGGAGCTCCCTGTCGCTCTTCGAGATGCTGCTCCCGCATGGTCATCCTTTACCCGGGTTCACCCTCCACAGGACCCTCGCCTTGTTGACTGGGTTCCGGTGCCCTCTGACCCGATGTTTGCCACCGTCCTTCTCCAGTGCCCCCCGGCCACCCGGGCTGCTTTCCTTCCAGCTACGTGCGCCGCTGCCGATTTGCTCCGAGCCTACAATCGAATTGTCCGGGACCTGTCTCTCATTTTGGCACCCCCCGAAATTTGGTGTGGGACGGCTACCTCACCGAACCCAACTCTTTTCCTCCGGTCCGGCGACGTTCTCACGCTCGCTGGAGAGACCTGGGCTCCTCGCCTTCGCTCGCCGGCCGGGCGTTACTGGGACACGCTGCTGCAGGCGCGTCACTTCGCCTTCTGGGGAAGCCCTTTCAGCATACGCCAACCTGGGCTCCTGTTTGCCTGGTCACCTGGTGACCCGGTCCCACTCACTGTACCCACGGTTCGCGACGAACAATGGGACCCCGTGCACTGCACATTTCGGCCCTCCCTTGCCTGCTTCAGTGTCACCCGATGGATTCCTGCACAGCGGCTTGATGACCTTGGTCTTCACCTTGTCCCCGAGAGCCCGAACCTGCACCGTGCGCATGTTCTTCCCGCACAGCCTCCCCTGCACGTCCAGGTCGTTTCGCGACAAGGGTCGAGTGGCCTGCTGCGTGACGGAGACAGCCTCTCTGGCTGTCGACCAGCCCCGTCCCTTCTCCTTCCCCGCCTTTTAGTTGGGGGTCTGCTCCCGAGTACTCTCCGGCGGCTTTGGCTTGCGGCCCTTGGTCTCGGGCTCCTGGCAAGCTACGGCCCGCCAGCCTTTCCAGCTCATCTGCTCTTTCCCCGTGCAGGGGCCCTCTCAGGGAACCGCCTGGCTCCCGCGCTTGATTTTGGCCTCCTGTTCCGTACCAGCTGCTATCTCCGCGCTCGGGGCGCGCCTGTCTGGAGCAGCACTGATGGAATCTCGTGGTCGGCCGATGTTCATGAGGAATGCGTCGCCCAGGCTTCCATACACCAACTCTGGTGGTCTCATGAGCTTTACCCGTTTCTTCCCGCATCCGCCCCTCCATCATACCGTCAGGCTTTCTGCAACTTCCCGCTCTGGCACGGGGGAGTGCCTGACCAGGTCTTTATTGCCACTGACGGCAGCGGCGAGCATGGAGGGGCTTGGGCCTTCTGTGTGTGGGCTTGGTGGCGCCATCGATGGTACCGCGTCGGTTGGTTTGGGGCCTCTGGCCATCAGCTCCCCTGGACCCCTGACCTGCCGCCCTCAGCAGGCGGCCTCTCCTTCCACACTGAACTCGCGGCCTTACAGGCTGCCGGACTCTGGCTTATTGCCTGGGTTGACCGCCTGTCCCTTCTCACAGCTTCTGCCCCTACCAAGGTTACTGTTGCGGTCGATAACGCTGCGGCACTTCAAATCGCAGCAGGGCAGGCCCAAGCCGCAGCACCTGCCACCACCACCACTCGGTATGTTTGGCAGGCCGTTCAAGCTCGGCTCTCCACACGGTTCCAGCATGTCCATAGCCACGTCGGAGTGCTCCCAAACACCTTCGCGGACTTCCTTGCCGGCTGGTCGGGTCGAGTCTCCTGGCAACCGTGGAAGCAGCTTGACCCTTTGCTACCCTCCCTCATGCAAAACGCGGCTCCGTGGCTTTGGGTCATCCCACATGCTCGTGTCGTCAAGGGTCGGCCGTGCATTTGTTTGGTCTCGCAGACCATCTCATGTGCCCTGCTACTGGGGCTGGTGACGTGCTCCCTCCTGCCGAGGATACCTTGACATCCACTGAGGCCGCTGCTCCACCGGGTCGTCCACTTGCCGATTCTCCCATCCCTTTGCGCTTGGTCACAGCCAATGTTCAAACGATGCGTGACTCCAACGCTTCATTCTTCAATCCCTCAGGGCACGGTCAGCGGCGCCAGTACCTTTACTCTCAGGTTGCTACCTTAGGCCTCGACGTTGTCTGCCTGCAAGAAGCCCGCAGCAAGGGTGGCCGTTGGGACACAGCCGGCCTCCTCACCTGGCGCTCCGGCGCGCAGAAAGGGAGTTACGGTTGTGAAATCTGGATAAGGCCTGGCATTACCAATCCGCCCTTGCGGCTTGATGACTGGCGCATCGCTAGTGCCGACCCTCGTCTTCTCGTTATTGTCAGCAAGCGTGCGGACTTACCCATTGCTGTCATCGCCGCCCATGCTCCCCACGCTGAGCGGCCCGCTTCTGAGATTCACCACTTTTGGTCTTCGTTGCACTCGTCCCTGTGCCAGTTGCCTCGGGCTCTGTCTCTTGTTCTCGGCCTGGATGCTAACGCGGACCTACTTTGGGCGGACGAAGACCACGCCTATATCGGCGACTGTCTGGGCAACAGTGAGGAGGGTGCTGGCGAGCAGGGTCTTTTTGACACTATCCAGCGTTTCGGCCTTCTTGCTCCGGCTTCCTTCTCCGCCATCCAGCAGGGCCCGGGCTGGTCCTGGGAGCATACGGGCGGTACCAGGAAGCGGCTTGACCATCTCCTGCTTCAGGCGGGTCCATGGCAGTGCACCCGCGCCCGTCAGCTTCCCGAGTTGGACATTCTCAACGGCCGCAGAGATCATATGCCTCTCCTTGTTGAATGCTGTCTTAAACGACAGGCGACACTGGCACGACCCCCCGGGGCATCCAACCGAGCTACCGCTAAGCAAGCTCAGCTTATTGCTGCCAGCCTTTGGCGTGGGTTCCCATCTCCCGTGCGCAGCATCGTTGAGGTTGGACAGGAGATCAGGGATCTCAAAGCTAGGCACCTCCGCCTCTTGGAGGCCCTTCCGAGAGCTCCTCGGCGGCCTGCCCGCCAGCCCTACATCACTGCCGAGTCTGTTGCCGCCCTGGATGTTGTGCGGCAGGCTCGCGAGCAACTCCCGCGCCTCCGCAGCAATGTCGAATGGCAGAAACGGCGCTTTCTTCTCCTTGTGTGGCGTTGGAGTTGCGTCAGGGGTCGATCCGACACTGCTGTCCCCCGCCCAGACCCCACCGGGCTTCAACATGCCAGGTTGTTGTTACAGGCCTGTAATCTGCATATCCGGGGTCTGCAGCAGAAGGCACACTATCTAGCCCGTTCTGACAAGCTTGCCCATTTCCGCACTCTTACCCTTGCTGCCACCCAGCACTGGGAATCCACAGGCATTCCTTTGGAATCTATCCGGCATCTTCGATGGGCTTCTCGCAAGGCCCATGACCGTAGAGCTGTGCACGCCGCTGGCGGTTTCGACATCGACCGTGAGCTTGAAGCACAATTTCGTGACCAGGAAGGCGCCCGCCTCGTCTCTCCTGCACTGCTCTCACAAACAGCCGAGCAGTGGCTCTCTGTCGATGCCACTCGCTCCCCGTGCCTCGAGGCAGTTCCTTCACTGCTCCAAATGGAGCAAATGTGCATCCGACAGGCACCAGCTAAGGCACCAGGACCTGACGGCCTGCGGAACGAGCTCTGGCGGGAACATGGAGCTCTTGCCGGACAATGGCTTTGGCCGCTCTGCACCCGCATTGCGCTTCAAGGCCGAGAACCCTTCGATTTCAAGAAAGCCATTGTCTGCGCCCTCTGCAAGAAGGGCCCGGCATCAGTACCTGCCAACTACCGTTCCATTGCCCTCCTTAACGGCATCGCTAAGCTGTGGCATTCGCACCTCCGTACCACGGTCGGTGGACATGTGCTGTCTCGTTATGAGCCCATGCAGCTAGGAGGGCGCCGAGGTGTTCACACTGGGTTTGCACTGGCGGCTTTCCGATGCGCCTGGGACCTTTCCGTCGCAGCGGGGCGGTGCGTTGCTGTTGTCTTTGTCGACATCCAAGCCGCTTGCTATGAGGCTAGCCGAGATCTTCTTTTCGATGGCTTCCCTGACGATGTTGATGTCCCGGAGCACCATCACCTCGCTGGACTTGTCCTCCAGCTTCACGGCCAGGGGGCTCTCTCCGCTCTTGGCGTTGCTGAGGATGTCAGCGCGCTCCTTCGGGATTGTGTTGCTCTGTCCCACTGGTCGCTCTCCGGGTCGGACAACATTTTCTTGGCCTCCCGAGGCTCCCGTCCCGGCGACGGCCTAGCGGACGTTTTGTTCGGCGCCCTATTTGCCATTGGGCTGCAACACATACAGCGCACAGCTTGTTCCATGGGCATCTCGCACACCAGTGCCGGGGTCGAGATCGGCCTCGAGCCAGGCGTCAAGCCGATTGGCTGGGCTGACGACCTTGCCGTCCTTGCGGACTTCGATAGTCCTGCCGAGCTCCAAACACAGCTCCCCCAACTCACTGGTGTCATTCTTGATACCCTCCGGTGCTTGCGGTTCCGGGTCAATCTTGGAGCGGGCAAAACTGAGGCCCTTGTCGATATTAGGGGAGACGGTGCTCGCGCTGCACGAGGCGCCATGCTCAGCGGCGACGCCCTTTTGGAAGTCTCCCAAGGTGACAGCATTCGACTTTGCCCTGAGTACAAATACTTGGGTGTAGCCCAACTGCCTCGAGACACCGGCAGGCGCGACTGCGAGCTGTCGGCACAGCGGGGGTCAGCGGCGGCGTCGCTTGCCCGAACCCTGCTGTGCAGCAATTGTCTGCCCTGGGAACTGAAACGAGCCTGGATTACCGGCCGAGTTCTCCCCTCAGCTTACTCCTCCTTGGCCTTCTCGCGCGCTGACTCCGCCCGGGCTGCTGCGCCATTGGCTGGACTCTTTGAACGCACAGCTAGGATCCTGTTGTCTTCCTGGCAAGTCGGTCACAAACTTACCACCCCCTTGCTTCGGCTTCTCGCTGATATCACCCCTCCTGACCTTGCTACCACTGTTAGCCAGTGCCGCCTCTGTGTGCAACTTTTCTGCAAGGCTCCAGCGGCTGTCAGGGAAATTGTCGATGCTGCGTGGAACCGGGCAATCCCTTGGTGTCAGGCCCTCGTCCTTGCTTGTTTGCGAGTAGGAGTCGCCCTAGACTCCTGGGACCCCGCTGCTCCTCCCGCCATCACTGTCCTGTTCGTCCAGCAGAACGGACGCGCTCTCCTTCGAGCGTGCAAGGCTCTGAGCAAATTTGGGCACAGGTATGCTGCCTGCGCCCAGCTTTGGGCGGACCTGGCCACCCGTCGCACCACCAAGATCCTCGGTGCGCCACAATCCCACAGTTGTCCGGTCTGTCGATGTGTTTTCCCGAGCCTTCATGCAGTACGCGCTCACATGCATCGGAAACACGGCGTCCTGTCTGATGTGACTGCCTATATGGCGGGTTCGGTTTGTCTCTGGTGTATGCGAGACTTCCAATCCTCGGATCGACTGAAGCACCACCTTCAAACGCAGCGCTCCTGCCTGCACGGCCTGCGTGTTACAGTCGGCCCTGTCTACCAGTACGGCTCGGGCACAAAACGTTCGGGTCGCGCCAGCCACCGGGGAGTCCCTCCACAACGCATCTGTGGGCCTTGCAATGCCACCCCAGCGCAGAGACGGGCGGCCGACCTCGGGGTGCCGGCCGATGACGCGGCCCTGCAAGCTGAGTGGGAAGCTGTTCAACGCTCCCCTGCGCTCTCGGACCTTGTCCCCGGCAACCTGCATCGACCATCCTCCTTGTTGCCTTCCGACGATGCCTCCGGCGCTCAGCAGGCTTGCCTTATCTCCGCTGCTCGTGGTTCCTCCCCCAAGTCCCTTGCCTCCCAGCATTCCCGCTCGGCCACTATTGAGGCGGCCTCTCCTGCGCAACACCCTTTGCGTTGGTTCTCCGTTGTGGAGGGGGCTGCTGGCTGTGACGACTGGGCTCTTCCCTCGCCCTGGTGGCCTGGGCTTCTCGGCCTTGGAGGTGTCTTTCAGCTTCCCTCCTCCTGGCACAGGCTTTGGCCTATGTGGTCCGCGCTCGAGTTCTTTGAACCTTGGGAGCATCGGGCCATCCGCCGCTTTGGTGCGCTGCGCTCCGCCTCCTCGTGCGGGTTAGGTGCAGCAGCCACCCTTGCTGATGCCACTACTGGCAAGTGGTCCCTGTTGGAGTTGGCCGCTGCCACGGTATCCTTCCGTATGATCTGCAAGGCTGTCCTCCGCGGTGGTGCCCTCTGGCTTTGGGGGCGCCCCAGCAATGCGGGTCTTGCCCTGCTGCGCCGCCTGCTTCCTGCGGCCTTCTTCTTGGACTTCCTTTCGCCGTGGGGACGGGTCTTCCTTGTCGCTTGCTCTGCTTCCTTGGCCTCCCTTGTGCGTGCTGTCTTTGCTCGCCCTGCCTGCTCGGCCCCGGTCTCGCTTCCCTTGCGAGCTTTTTGGGCCTATCCGGCAGCCTGACTCGCCGCCCCTGTACAGTGTTCTTTCCACTTCCGGCCGCGTGACTACAGCAGTCACGCTTTTGGGCCTTTGCACGCAGTAGTTAGCACAGGACGTCCTCTTGCGCGAGTGAGTGAGAGAGTGAGTTTAGGGCTTCTAGGATACCCAGTAACCTAAGAATAAAAAGGCCTCTCTTTTTGGTATTGGGTAACTTTATAAGGAACCTAGGACTAGAAAAAAGGGAATAAGAGTACTACTGGGCATCCTAGTAGCTTAAAAGCCTGAGCCATCAACCCTACAACCCTAACACCCGAGGCCCCAAAACCCTAAACTCGGAAAGCGGGGTTTAGGGTTAGGGATTAGGGTTTTCTGCATCATGAGGATCGAAGTCCGTCTGCAGGTTCGCGAGCTGGGCAGTGATCTGCGACTCGAAGTCTTGCAGGCGGGTGGCCACCTTTCGTCTGGTGGAGAGTTTGGTTTTTTTTTTTAGGCGCCTCTTTTCCAACTCGCTGTTCGCTCGTCGAAAATCCCAGGGGGAAGGCAAGTTAGCCAACTTACGGGCTTCCTGGCTCACGTCCAAGAATTTGCGGTTTAGGGTTTAAGGGTTTAGGGTTTAGGGTCTAGGGTTTAGGGTTTAGGGCTTCGGGTTTAGGGTTTTGGGTGTTGAGCTTGAGCCCTCAATGCAACAGCTAAGCCCTACATCACAATTAGGCTCAAGGGGTTTAGGGCTTGGGGTTTGGGACTACGGAGGGCTGTGCACACCTAGGCTGCAGCTGAAGCCCGGAACCTCAAACACAAAATCCGAGACGTTAGACTAAGTGATCCATTTACCTGGAGACTCCCATTTCCCTTAATGGAGGAATATACCTTTTCTTATGTTCGATCTATTCCTTAATTTAGGGATATTGGAGTCTCTGGGCCTGTGAGTAAAGGATGTTGGCTTTCGGCCTTCGGGTTGCCCCCCCGGCCTTTTTCATGATTTGAGCATCACCGCCGGTCTTTCGTGAGGGCAGGACGCCGTCTTCGCCACCTCCGCAGCAGTGCTGTAGTCTTTAGCACTTAGGCTTCGCAAGGAACTATGATCTACATTTCAGGACCAAGAAGGCACCAACTTTAAGAGTCAAGGCTTTGGAGTTCAGGTTTTACGGCCTACAAATGTGGTTAAGACTGTAGAGTGTAGGATTTAGGTTTCATTGCTTTCCACATGGTAGGTCAAAACGGGGGACTCCGCAGCGTGTGAGGTCTCTTCAGGGGTTTGAACTTCGGGCCTGAGTAAATCCTAAACTCTAAAGCTTAAGCTGTCAGAGCCTCTTGGTGTGAATAAGGCCTCAAGGCTGTCGGTTTTCTGATTGAACCCTAAACCCTAAACCCTATACCCTAAACCGTGATTACGAACCACGATAGTCACTGCAGGGTTTAAGGATTCTGCGGTTGCACTTCGAGATAGGCCCAACTCCACTACTGCAATGGGGGGGTATAATGGGAATATAGAGGTACTGTTGATGGACAAAAACCTGCATTTCCCATTGTAAGGAATAAAAATACCATAGGTCCCATAGCTTAGAGTCCTTAGGGTCATGCAGGATTTTGTCCATCAACAGTATGATGGGAATATAGAGGCCTCGGGCCACTAGCATGATTCCTTGCGGTCATTGTTTGACCTTGCCTAAGTTGCACCCTCAAACCCAAAACCTCCGTGTGAAATCCCAACTGAAAAACAACAAAACAAAACCCCCTCAACAATCTTACCACACATGCAAATTTCCGCAAAAGCATGGTTTCAAAAGATGTGTGCTTGTGCGTGTGCGCGTGCGTGTGGGTGTGTGGATACATGTATGTTTGTATATAATTATGCATTCATCTGTTTATCTATGTTCTTCCATACTTGCTTTCTCATTCAGTCCTTCTTTGATTGATTATCTTTGTATGTATCTATTTTGGGAAGTATTTATCTATGTACTTTTTTGCTCACCTTTTGTAATGTGTGTTTGTAGCACGCGGTTTTCCTAGAAAAAAGGCAAAGCCCCCAGGGTCCCGCACCCGCTCCGGCGCTTTCCAGAGCTGCCAACCGGGCCTCGAGCTCCTGAAGCTTGGCCTCTGCAGGGCTTAGAGCCTACAGAAATCCCTAAGAAAGCCCTAAAACCCTGTAGGTTTAGGGTTTAGGTTTTAGGGCTTAGAGCTTTAGGGTTTCAGGGCTTAGAGCTTCAGGGCTTAAAGCTTTAGGGCTTTAGGGTTTTAGGGCTTTAGAGTTCAGGCTTGACTGGATTTCTTAAAGTTTCGGGTTTAGGGCTTCAGGGCTTGTTTTTTTTTTTTTGGAACGGCCCTTTTCCTCCTCGCAGCTGGGTCCGAAAGCTTTGGGCTTCAGGGGTTTAGGGTTTTAGGGCCTTCTTAGGGATTTCTGTCGGTTTAGGGCTTAGGACTTAGAGCTTTAGGGTTTTAGGGCTTTAGAGTTTAGGGTTTAGTGGTTCATCTTGAGGGCTCTCTTCGGGATTTCTGTAGGTTTCGGGTTTAGGAGTTCAGGGCTTTTAGGGTGTAGGGTGTAGAGTTCAGCGGTAGGGCTTTTGGGGCTTAAGGCTTAGGGCTTAAGGTTTGGGGTTTAAGGGCTCAGGGTGTAGGGAGGATTTCTGCAGGGTTCTGGGGTTTTGCTGCTTTGGGGTTTAAGGTTTTGGACTTGGGGGATGATCCGGCTCGGGGTTCTTGGGCTTTTAGGGTTTAGGGTTTAGGGTTTAAGGTTCAGGGGTTTAGGGTCTTTAGGGTTTAGGGTTTAGGGTTTAAGGTTTAGGGTTGAGGGTTTAAGGTTTAGGGTTGAGGGTTTAGGGTGCAGGATTTTGCTTTAGTTGGGCGGCTCGTTGCTGCGAAACGCTGTCAGGCTTTACAGCATTGCCTTAAGAGCGTCGAAGGTGTGTGCAGGCCTTAATATAGAGGATCACATAAGTACCAATACCGATGCTGGTTCGGGGTTCCTTGTGATAAACAGAGTATAATATACCTCCAAGCCCTATTCTAATCAAGGCCCCTATAGTATGTGGTTCGGGACACATTGGGATTTCGGTATTGAGCATGTAGCTGGACTGTTGCCGCCGGTATCCAGAGCCCAATACCAGTAATGTTAGAACATACCTCTACCGTGTAATATGAAGATCCCACACCCTAAACCCTTAAACCCGAAACCCTAAGAAAGTAAGTACGACTAAAGGGTCATGTCGTGGCTTTGCTGCCCGGATCCCGCCAAGACCGACAAAAAAACCCGGAATCGTCGCACCCACACCCCAAGCCCTAATATAGGGGACGTGATAAACACAATAGGGTTCCTTTCAAATGATGTTATACTAGATATAGACCTAAATAGTCCGAATAGCGCTTCGGAAGATATTCGGGTATACTTAGCAAGAAACTACAGAACTATGTATGTATAACCTGTTTCAGTACCTGTATACAAATATACAAAAGTAGGTAGAGCCATACGCCCAACATCACTGAATCCCAAAACCCTGACCTCCGGCAGCCTTCACCCTTGCACATGTGCCATCATTAGGGGTGTAGGGTTCATTTTTCGGCTTAGGGTTTAGGCTAAAGGTTTCGGGTTCAGGGTCGAGGGTTTAGGGTTTAGGGTTGAGGGTTTAGGGTTTAGGGTTGAGGGTTTGGGTCGTAGGGGTTTTGGAGCTTTCGGTGTAAGCATCCCAGCCAGCCTCCATTTCTGAACCCATGATCACCCAAGGCTCTGCAAGGATTTCTGCACGGCGCGTGGGAGAACACTCTGAGCCCTCAAGGAACAAGCTGCGCAGGAAGAGCTGTGCAATCCTTCCGGCATGAAACCTCGAGTCATGTGAAGGAATGCCCACGCCCTCATCCCCAAGTAATGTAGGGGCCTTAATAATTAGAATTCGGGCTAAGGGATATAAATATTATACCATAATTCGAATGAGGAGCCCTCACAACCCTCTTCGAATTATTAAGGCCTCTACATTGAGCCTCGCAGTATGAGGTTTGGGGCCCAGAAACTCCAACATCCCTTAAGTAAGGAAGATACCTTAAACATATTCGGGATCCTGTTATAATCTGCGGTATATTCCATGAGTAAGGGGTATATATGTATATATATATATATATATATACTTATTTATGTATTTATTTGTATTTATATTTATACTTATTTATACTTATTTATATACACACATATTGGAGTCCCCCGGGGGTTTAGGATTCAGGGGCTCAGGGTTCGGAAAAGGATTTTGGCGTTGGTGGTCTAGCGTTGTGTCGACCTCAGGGACCGGGGTAGACTTAAAGGGAATCTGCTTGGGTTTAGGGTTTTGGGTTTTGGATTTAGGGTTTATCGTTTGGGTTTAGGGTTTAGGGTTTGGGTTTTTTTTTAGGGTTTGGGGTTTAAGGTTTACCCTGCAGTTGAGCATTTCTTCTGGAGCATCCCTTGACATCTACAAGGCAACAAGAGCACCAAAGTCCAGCTGGGACTAAGATTTTGGCAGCAGCTCGCGAGGGGCGCTTGCCTTTGGTGGCTTTGGTGGACTGCAACTCCAAATCCATCCTGAAACTTGGTGCAGACTCCGTCTTCAGATCCTCATCCTTCAGGAGCGAAACCTTCGCCGTAAGGCGCTGTGCCAGCGCGCGCATCGGAGCGTCGGCTCGGATGCGGGGGCGCCGCTTGGCCTCGGCCAGGAGCCGCTCGCAGCGCGCGATCAGCGCCGTGTGCTGAGCGGTCGAGTTCATCGTCCAACTCGCGGGTGTTCACAGAGGCTCAGGCCTATGCTGTGGGAAGGAATCACTGGTGGTCTTCTTAGGGCTCCCCCAAGGGATCTTTAGTGTTCCTTTAAGGGATCTTTAGGGCTCCTTTAAGGGATCTTTAGTGTTTTCTTCCCCAGAGAGTCCAATACCCCTTTATTAAGGAATATACCTTACCTTATAAGGGACTTAATATTATGACTCAATACCCCGCTATTAAGGAATATAACTTAACTTATAGGGGACTTAATATTATGACTCAAGGGTATATTCCTTAATTCAAGGGGGTATCGGTCGCTCTGGGTCAAACAAAGGCTACTTCATAGATACCTAAGCAGACGAATCCGAAGATGAATGTACATATCTACCCGTCGTCTAATCCTCCCTACTTTTGTAGAAGCCAGAAAATTGGAACATCATTATCCCCATGCCCTTAGGGCAAAGTACAAGGGATCCTAGCACTAATCCTCCTAAAGCCATGGTCCAACTTTCTGGTTTCTACTATAGGTGCCCTGATCCTCCAAGTGGGGCACCGGGCATCGAGTTTGGGGCAGCTCCGCCACCAACGCCTTAAAAACTCTTCATGTCAAACCCTGACCCAACATGTCATCTAAATGATCTCACCGCTCTACAGCCTAGCTTCAAAACCTTCTTCTAAACCCTAAATCCTAAACCCTAAACCCTAAACATCCACGGGCAGTCGGATTCGAGTTCTCTTTCGAGCCTCGGGCGCGAGGGGAGTCGGAATCAGGCTTCGGAATGCCCTTCTGGAGCAAACTTCCGCCACTTTCAGCACGCATTGTCTTGCTGACGAACTTCTCAAAATCACACCGGGAGTGCGCAGCGTCTTGCTGCACGTGCCCTTCACTAATTGGGATGCAAAGTAAAGGATAGAAGTTACAAAAAAGCAGGCGCGTCCTGAAGCGACGACGAAGCTGGGAGTCCGATGGTAGCCCTGAACATGCCCACTCTAACATCCATGAGACGTCGTGTGAGTTCCTGTCAAAGCCACATTTGCACACATCCCCAACATACTCGGCTCGAGATCCAGACCCTCACCCTGAACGACATCCTGAGTAGACTTGAACCCGAAGCCCCGAACTCCAAAACCCTTAACCTCAAACCCTGAACCTTCAGCTTTAAATCGTAAGCCCGAAACCCTACACCTTCAACCCCAAACCCCTGAACCCCAAACCCCTGAACCCTAAACCCCGAACCCTAGACTGCCCTAAGATTTAAGCCCTACAACCCTGAAACCCTGAAGATCCCTGCTTCGTCTGTGCCCAGGAAGATGGGAGCGTGCGAGCCCTTACGGAAGGTCGGCGCCCGAAGGACTGGATTCAGCTCACATTTCTTGTGTTCTTCCGGGTTCCGAAATGGGAGTTTCCGAAAATTAGGGGGCACCTTATTTTGGGGTCCTTATAATAAGGATCCTACTACGTAATTAAGGTTCCATACAAGGGTCCCCTGTTTTCGGAAACTCCCAAATGGCCCTTCTAGAATAAGGGTACCATATTGCCTACTATCCGGCTTTAACGAGGAGGCCCTCAAATAGAAAGGGCAAAACGGTACGACTCAGGGACCTGGTCTTTTAATTGGGTTTGGGGTTCAGGGTTCAGCGTTTGGGGTCTCCTACAAGTCCCGACAACATCCGAAAGCTCAGAACCGACAAATGAAGGCCCTTGATTGCTGAGGATGTAGGATTTACGAGCTTCTGGGTTTAGGGCTCACGGTTTAGCATCCAGGGTTCAGGATTTAAGACATGCACCCTACAACCTAAGCACTGACAAATACAGCGGCGTCGCACGGGTTTTGTGAGCTTCATACGGGCTTGGAAAGGGCTTATATGGGTTTACAAAGGTTGGATTGGCTCTTTTTTGGCGTTCTTCATCGTTTCGGGTACAAGTACAGCGTTTGAAGAAGCTTTGAAGGAAATCCGCTCAAACGAGAAGGTTACACGGAAGGAAGCGAGAAGACGTAACAACAAATAAAACCATACCCACTTAAGAACCTTCCCCTGTTCACCCCTGGTTCGTGTCACAGGCTGTGGTCAACACACGGATCAATCGCATGTTTTTGTTCTCAAAGTGTTGAGCAAACGACTTCAGGCAGTGGGTTAAGGTGCAATGACCCTGAAGTTCGTACTGGAACATACAAGCAGTCCTTCAGAAAGGGGCGTTGCCAGAAAGTCGGTTCAGATGACGCGTCTGTTTCCGCAGTCCTGCAAAACTGAAAGGATCAGGGCTCATTGCATGGGGTTCGGGTGTGGGGTGTAGCATTTAGGGCCTGCGGCTTCGTGTTTCTGGCACCCTTAAAGGGCTCAACTCCAAACCCTAAAGCCCTAAACCCCAAACCCCTAGTCCCCAAACTCTAAATCCCTCCCCTAAACCCTAAACCTTGAACCCTAAACCCCTAAACCTTAAACCTTAAACTCCTAAGCCTAAGACACGAAAGCCCTAAGCTTCTTGAACCCTAAACCCTAAACCCTAGACCCCTAAGCCTAAGCCACAAAAGCCCTAAGCTTCTTGAACCCTAAACCTTAAACCCTAGACCCCTAAGCCTAAGCCACAAAAGCCCTAAGCTTCTTGAACCCTAAACCCTAAACCCTAGACTCCTAAGCCTAAGCCCGAAAAGCCCGAAGCTTCGGTCCTCCTAACTCCCTAAACCCCTAACCCTGAACCCCTAAACCCTAAACCCTTAAAGCCTAAACCCTAGACTCCTAAGCCGAAGCCACAAAAGCCCAAGCTTCGGTCCTCCTACGATCCGCCGCCGGGAGCCGCAGTTTGCTCCTTCATCGACAAAGCCAGCTGCAGGGGCCTCGTGGTGAGTTTCCGAAAATAGGGAACCCTAAGGGTTCCTTTAAAGGGAGGGTTCTGTAAGGGTTCGGTTAACGGGCTCTATAAGGGTTCATATTGGGAGTTTCCAATAGGGGACCCTAATAAAGTACCCTAAAATAGTAGGTTCCTTATTACAAGGACACCAAAATAAGGTGCCGCTAACTTTCGGAAACCCCCATATGAATCGAAAGCATTGGGAATAGGGTTTAGGGTTTAGAGTTTAGGCCCGAAAAATGGGAATAGGGTTCTGAAGGTGTAGTGAAGTATATAAACTACATGAACATACAGGGACTATATACTGAGATAACACTCGCGATATCGAGCTTTAATTGTCTAGAAGTCTAGGCTTGCGACAGTAGGAAGGTTGATAGTTTGGGTCTCACGGCTTGGGGTCATTGGCTGTCAGGTTTGGAGAATCAGCTTTGGGGTTTCAGGTCTGAGACAAGTTTAGGTTCAAGTTGCAGCTTTTTGGATACAGATAGTGGGATTTTTAACTGACTACGATATGTGGTATCTAGAGAAGAGAAGCGCGGGTTGCACTACTGTTGATGGACAAAATCCTGCATGACCCATTATAAGGAATATACCATAGTTCCCATACTTTAGAGTCCTTAGGGTCATGCAGGATTTTGTCCATCAACAGTAGGAAGTGGAGGTTCCAAATTGAACCCCCAAAGCGCACGGATGCTCGCCGGCTCGTCTCGGCTGCAGCAAGCTGAAGCTATCCTTTAGGCTTTGGGGTGAGTGTAGCGTGTAGGGTTCCCTTTAAAGGGCTCTATATGAGGGCCACTACAAGGCTATAAGGGTACTATATGTAGAGTGTAGGGCTTAGGGTGTAGGCGTCCGTCGCTAGTAGATCCTGCACCAAAGACGCGAAACACTAAAGAAGATTTAGGGGCCTTAATAAGTAAAATTTGGCTTCGGGGACCACTATGAATACAACTCTAGTAAGGAACCCACCAAACTAGTATAGGAATGATCTCTAAACTAACCCTGAACAAAAACGTACCCCCGAGGCCATGGCTGCTGTTGGCGACGCTCCACGACTTCCTTCCTGAGGGCCAGTGAGCGTGTTTGACGGCTTCGAAAATATGGGGAAAGACGATCTTACCCATCTACCTATCTACCAACCA